CTCTTCCTTCTTCCTAGTCTGTCTCAGTCTATAATCTGGGCTGTTACCTGTGCACCAGGTGCATTTCGCTGGGTTTTAAACACCAGAGGCTCAGCCTCAAAACTCATGTCTACATGACACCACAGTAGGACAAACCGACAGACAAGTCTGTCTTGCTGTTGGAGACCTCTCGTATCACCCCCACCTCGGTCCCTGTGGCTGACTGTATTTCTGTCTGGCTTCCTGGCTTTTAATCCCCTTTCTCCTGCTTTTCCGGCCTGCTGCTTTGGGTGTCCCTGAGTTGTCTCTCCTCACCTGTAACCCTGGGGCTGACATATGTACATATATGCATATAGGTATGTATGTGTGTGGGCATATATACAGTAGCTATAGCAAAAACAACCAAAATGTATCATGCAGTTACATATGTATATGTATGCATATAAGTATATATGTGTGGGGGCATATATACAGTATCTATATGTATATACGTGTGTGTGTGTGTGTGTGCATGCACATATTTACAACAGCATAGTTATAGATACTTCTCAGATATAAGAAAACACCTTGCAGGACTGGTGTTCTGGGTTTGAAGCCTTAGGACTATAGTCTCATGAACAACTTGGTCTCAATCAACTGGCATAATATAATTCATGAAGTTTATGTTCTACATGCTTGTTAGTGAGTAGTGTCTGGGGTTTTAAAAGCTTTTGAGTGACCATCGAAGACACAACTATCAGTCTCTTCTCGTTGGGAAGAAATGAAAAAGAAGGAAACCAAAGACTCAGAGAAGAATCTAGTCTACAGTACTAACAGTCCACATGAACCACGGCCTTATCTACCCAGAGACCAGAAAAACCACATGTTGCGGGCTACCACTAACAATTGTTAAACAGACCCTGATGTCGTTGTTAGGTCGTTGTTAGGTGCTGTTGAGTCATCTCTGACTCATAGCGACGCTATGCACAGCAGAACAAAACACTGACCAGTCCTGTGCCAGCCTCACAATCTTTGCTATACCTGAGCCTACTGTTGCAGCCACCCTGTCTATCCATCTCATTAATAGAGTTGGAGAGTCTATCCATCTCATTCCGCTTCTTCATTGACCCTTCCAATGAGCAATCTGGCTGCACTTCCTCCAGGACAGATTCGTTAGTCCTTTCAGCAGACCATGGTACTCTTACTATTCTTCTCCAGTACCACAACTCAAAAGCATCAACTCTTCTTCGGTCTTCCTTATTCATTGTCCAGCTCTCACGTGCTTAAGAGTCAAATGAAAATACCATGGCTTGGGTCAGGGGCACCTTCATCTTCAAGGAGACATCCTTGCTCCTCATCACTTGAAAGAGGGCCTTTGCAGCAGATTTGCCCAATGCAATACATCATCTGATATCTTGACTGCTGCTTCCACTGCTGTTGACTGTAGAACCAAGTAATATGAAATCCTTAACAACTTCCATCTTTTCTCCATCAACCGTGAAGCTATTTATTGGACCAATTATGAGGATTTCAGTTTTCTTTATCTTGAGGAGTAATCCATACTGCAGACTATAGTCTTTAATCTTCATCAGTAAGTGCTTCAAGTCATCCTCACTTTCAGCAAGCAAAGCTGTGTTATTTGCGTAGCACAGGTTGTTAATGAGTCTTCCTCCAATCCTGATGCCATGTTCTTTTTCATATAATCCAGCTTCTTGGATTATGTGCTCAGCATACAAGTTGAATAAGTAGGGTGAAAGGATACAACCTTGACCCACTCCCTTCTTGATTTTGAACTATGGAGAACAAGAGGATTCTTGTTCTGTTCAAATGACAGCCCCCTCCTGATCTATGTACAGGTTCCTCATGAGTACAATCAAGTGTTCTGGAATTCCCATTCTTCTCAATGTTATCCACAATTTGTCATGATCCACACAATCGAATGCTTTGGCATTTGGATCCTGATAGAAGAGGAAAAAGTGTGGAACAGAACTCAAAATTTTAAAATGTTCAGACTTACTGGACTGGTTGAGACCAGAGGACTCACTGAGACTTGCCCTGTGATACTCTTTAAACCTTGAACCAAAACTAGCCTCTGAGGTCACGTTTTACCTAAATAACAGATTGGCTCATATAATGTATTACCAATGAGTACTACATACCTTTAAAAAATCATGTATAACAAAGTGTATGTGAACTACTGTATGGAAAGTGAAATTGCTCTGTAAATCTTCACCCAAATCACACAAAAAAAAAAAAAAAAAAAAAATCATGTTTATCAGACAAGATGATCAACAATTACTCTAAAGCAAAGATGAAAAGTTAAGGGGACAGAAAAACCAGATTATTGAAATTGAAATATCCAGGAAGGAATGAAAATTTTGACACATTGTGAAACATGTAAATCAATATCACCAAACAATTTATGTAATAATTGTTAAATGGGAACCTAATTTGCTGTTTTACCAAAAATTTTCAAAAAAGGCAAATGTATAGAGATCAAAGTTTATTAGCAGTTATCAGGGACAGGAGGGAGGGGGGAAAGGAGGGATCATTGCTTATATAAAGAGCTCTGGTGGTATAAGTGGAAAAGCCATTTGGCTGCTAACCAAAGGTCAGCAGTTCAAATCTACCAGCTGGTCTGCAGAAGGAAGACGGGGTGATCTATTTCCATAAAGATTTACAGCCTTGGAAACCCAACAGGGTCACTATGACTCAGAATCAACTCAATGGCGGTGAGTTTGGCTTTTTGGGTTTTTATTGTTTATGCAACATTGAGTTCCAGTTTATGGTGATAGAAAAAAAAAATCATACTGATTAAGGGTAAGGGTTGCACTGCCAATTAATGTAACTGATGTCAATAAGTTATACACCTGTAAATAGTTTGCTCTGGACCAGTAGAGACCCATTGTTGCATCTAGAGCTTGCAAGCTTTTAAGATTCCAGTCATTACTTGCCAAAGTAGGATGTGGAACAATGTTCTGTGTAATAGGTTATGCCAATTGAGCTTGATGTCCCCTAAGACTATGGTCCCGAGTCCACAAGTTCAGCTGCTTGCTCCCTCTGGGTAGCTGACTATGGCCAAGAAGTGACTACAACCTTGTCCCTTGTCAATTCTACTCTATACAGGGTGAGCTTTTGAAACAGCAAAAGTGTCCTTCTTAAAAGCCTTCACACTCTCAAATTTTACATCCAAGATATTTTGTGGTTTGTCCACTCCTTTTCTATCCTCATCTCCTGTACATCCCTTTGCAGATGACTCACTGCAGCTGCTCTAAACCTCTTGGTGCTCCTCAAATGAAGTGTACTTCAAAATACCATACATTCCCCCATATGTTACTCTAACTCCAAGCAGTCTTGCAAAATATACCTTCTGTACATTACTCAGGAACTCTGGTGGGTGGTATCTAAGGCATCTGACTACTAACAGAAGGTTGGCAGTTCAAATCAACCAGCCACTCTGTGGAAGGAAGACTGGGCAATCTATTTCCATAAAGATTTACCACCTCAGAAACCCAAATGGGGTTGCTATGAGTTGGAACTGACTCCAAGACAATGAGTTTAGTTGTTTTTTTTTTTTTGGCGGGGGGTGGGGTGGTTTATATTACCTTCCCATAACCTTTTGCTGAACCATCTCATCACCTTCTGCATACCCAAAGCATATGGTCATGTGATCAAAGCAGCCATGATGTGTACTGTCATCATTATGGTATCCTCTAGCAACTGATGGAGGGTAAACACTTCATGTGTATCCCTAGCACATACTCAGCTTGACTAGCTGTCTGATCAGTTTACAGAAACACAAACTGATGTTAAAGGTAAAACAGGTCTGACCTGTTAGACTTAAATGTCAATGACACATTAAAGTTGAAGCCTTAAGCAAAAATAATAAAGATATCTGCCCACCTGACAGTCCTCATTGTCATAATCTGTGGTCAAGACAGGATAGCTGCTCTCATGCTCAGATAGGTACATCAGCCTGCTCATACTAGTGTGTGAGCATGCCAACCGAGACAATGAACTCTCACTGGGGAGCTTCTGAGGATGAGCAGTTGAACCCAAACACTCTAAAGTACACCTAGAAGAGAGAAAAGAAACTCATGACTGGAGGTACTCATTCCTCTAACACTATCTCCATTTGCAAAAAGCTATTCTTCGTTACCTACAATCTTACTAATCTATAGTCTCTGTTCCAACTGTCTATATAATAACCACAAATTCATTTCATTATACTTACGTCATCAAAAATGGTAGAATATATTCCTAATGAATAAACTATCTGATCAAAATGTCATGGGATTTTTTTAAAGAAAAAAACATAACAATCAAAACAATGTTAATCACTCATTCAATAAAAAATTTACAAACCACTGAACAAAAATGGACAAAACATTCAAAAACTCCTGCATGGGGGAAAAAAAAATGTAGGTAAGTACAAAGGAATGGAAATGGTCATATACAGTTGATAGGAATGCAAAGTGATACAATCTTCAGCTAAGTGATTAAGCAGTACATATTAAAAGCCTTAAAAGCATGTCACTTGATTCAGGTATTTTATACCTAGATGCTTATCCTAAGAAGAAAAATTAACAATAAAATATAAACCAAGCCCACTGCCACTGAGTTGATTCCAACTCACGGTAACTCTATAGGACAGAGTAGAACTGCCCCATAGGTTTTCCAAGACTGCAAATCTTTACAGAAGTAGACTGTCATATCTCTCTAACAGAGCAACTGGTGAGTTCAAACCATCCACCTTTTGGTTAGCAGCTGAGTGCTTTAACTACTGCACCACCAGGTGTCCTATGATAAATATAAAATATTAAAAGAATATGCCATCTCATCGCTATTACATAAGAAATCTTAAAAGTTTTTTAAGAGGAACTAGGTTATAGAAATTAGGGCATAAGTATACAATAAAATACTAGACAATCATCAAATATCATGTTGTCAAATATGAATTAAAATTACTATATACTGAAATATTCTTGATTTCATGTATCAGATTGTCAATAATCAAAAAGTTTGATAAGCACAACTTTGTTGGTAAGGTGGTAGGAAACAGGCCTTCTCCTACACTGTTAGTGGAAATTTAAATTAACACAATACTTTTGCAGGGATGTACTAATTTAAACGTGAGTAAGAATGTATATACTCCTTTCCCCAGCAATGTAATTTCTAGGAATTTACCCTATATAGATGTATGTGCACATGTCCAAAGTGCCCATGATACAGAAAAGGCTGTACTGAGTCAAAAGATATGTGCATAATACGCTATTGTTGTGTATAAAAAAGAGGGCCCAATAAGAATATATATTCATATTTGTTTATGCATCATACCTAAGAAACTAAAAACAGTAGTACCCTAGTGAAGTGATTAAGGAACCAGGCAGATGAGGAATAGTGGAAGGGAGATACACACATACACACAAATATACACATGTATATATGAAAAGGAAATAAATTCACATTGAAAACTTTTATATACATATATGTGGTTTAATTTTTTAACTGTGTAAATTTATAGCCTTTTCAGAATGTTTCATTTATAAAAGTTCTTAAAACTTGGTCCAATTCTTCAAAAAGCACTTAGCTATTTCAGAAGTAAAACAGGCATATCTCAGAAATATTGAACACTGAGTTTCAGACCACTCCAACAAAATGAGTATCATAAAAAAGCAAGTCACACAAATTCTTTGGTTTCCCAGTGCATATCAAAGTTGTACACTATACTGTAGTCTGGTAAGTATGCAACAGCATCATGAAAAAGTCTGAAATACTGTGAGAATTACCAAAATATGACACAGACACATGAATTGAGCAAATGTGGTTGGAAAATGGTGCTGACAGATTGTTTGACACAGGGTTGCCACAAACCTTTAATGTGTTAAATAAAACAGTATCTGTGAAGCACAATAAAATGGGGTATGCCTGTATTTAAAATGTAAGTTAATACTTCAAGATAGAAAATTAAAATTCAATTGTCTAAAATTTTAAATGATTTAAAATGCTAAGAAATCAGTGAGATAAACAACATTATCATACAAGGTGCAAATCTTTAAAATCATTTTAGAAAATAATTTGCTAATATATTGTTGTGAGTTACCGCCAAGTCAATTCCAACTCACCGCAACCCATGTGCACAGAGTAGAACTGCTCCCCAGGGTTTTCAATGGCTGTGAACTTTCAGAAGAAGCTCTGCAGGTCTATCTTCTGAAGTGCTTCTGACTGAGTTTAAACCACCAATCTGTGGTGCTTGGCTGTAGTCTAGCACTTTACTACTCCACGAAGAGACTCCATAGAAAGCCTTAAAATATTATTATTTAAAGGCTTATTATATTATTACTCCTGACCTAATTTTACTTCTAGATGCCTATCTTAAGAGGAAATTGGTCAAAACACAGAAAGAATTTCATGAACAAAGTTGTTCATATCACTATAGTAGTAAAAAGACGTAAGTAGCATAACAAAGATCTACTAAACGTATCAAACAAATGATGACAGCTCCATTATGCAGCCTACAATATTACTAATTTTTTTAAAATACAGAGGATAATTATAAGAAGTGGAACAAAAGCAGAACATAAAAATTTGCTCAGAAAAAAGGCTAAAAAGAAATTCATAAAATATTTACAATAGTTACCTTTGAGTGATAGTGGACATATAGATGATCTTCTTCATATTTTTTTCCATATTTCCTATACTGAGTACGGTTTTTTTAAAAAAAAAGTAAGTACCTACCCTGATAAATTTGTTCCAGAGGCTTCACTAGGAGAAGAATGACTCAGAGGTGAAGCTGAAGGTCTGAAGCTACTCTGGTCATCCTCTAAACCATGTCCACCATGCTTAAGAGGGATATCTTTCAAACCTATCAGAAAGATGTATTCTCCAATGAGAATAGAAGAAAAAAATTCCCTGTAATTTTGTGAATGTGATCAATTACTCTCATACATACCGACATTTCCACATGAGATGACTGAATGCTTTTCAAAAATCACACGCTTTTCACTCTTGCTTGATTCACTAACATATTCATTCCTCTCATCTTCTCTATTACTTTTCATATCTTCACTTTCTTTCAACAGCCCAGGGGATATTATTGTGGAGATCCTTTCTAATGAGTAACTGTCAGATGCTGGAGTAGAAAGTGAGGCTGCTTTTTCACCGTTACAAATATCTCGCAATTTGGTATCACTGGAATATGTCTTTACATTAACTATCATGGTCTCATTCTCTCTTATATTTGTAAGAACTGGATTTGAAGAGTGTATAGTTCTAAATAATTCTTGGTTCTCACTCTCTTTATTTTCACTATAAAGAGTTGCTGTGTTTTCTTCTGGTTCTGTTCCACTTAGATTAGTAGCATCTAAATCCACTGTACGGATAGCTTGTATAGTCTGTTCTTTTGGCAAAGATAAATCCCAAATATCAGACATATCAGCTTTTGAAAAGTTTTCCAATCCAATTTCAGATTTATTAATATCTGCTTTTTTAAGATATTTCTCTATATCAAATGCATTGGAGCCATTACTTTTTTCTAAATCATTAGGTAAAAAATGAGACGCAGCGGAAAACTTTTTTTGTTTATTATTTTCCTGCAAAGTCTTCTCTTTGGTTTTATTTGAAAGTGCCTTTATCATGGCAGCAAGCTGGGAAGGATCCGTATTGATGGATGCATTTGTAATGGCTGAAGCAATGGTGCTTATTCTAAGCATAGAATTGCCACTGTCAGAGAGTTCATCTTTATATCTTTTATGTTTGCTCTTCATTAAGAAACTGTCCTAGAAATGAGCAAATTTACATCAGATAATTTACATTAGTTCCAAGAACACATACATAGTAATTTAATTATTATTTTTTTAAGTGCTACATAAGATTTAACAGTCACAAGAAATCAATGGTGTATCAGATAAATATTTTAATGAAAAAAGTTAGCATTAACAAATTAAATTATATAATACTGGGGTTATTTACAATATTTGAGTATCATTTGTTTAAAAAGAGAATTGTAGAGAGGTACTAAATTGAACAGAAAAATTAAAAAACAAAAAATTAAGACACAGAGATTGAGAAGCCACTGACCTGCTGTGAATACAAGTATAATTCTTTGCGATTTGATTCAACTATCAGAATTACTTGTAAGTAAGATATAAACAGGAACCATGGGTAAAAACTGAAATGGGCCCAACAGCAAAGAAGAATAAAACTATTTAACAAAACACATGTATTAAGACTTCTGTCTCCAGTAATAGCACACCAGATATGCAAACCAACCTCTTGCTGGGAGGAATTAGAACCGGGCAAAATATTGCAGTAACATTTCTTTGAAGGCATGACTGATTTCACAAAGCAGTGAAAAATCATGAGGCCAAAATCCATTATATGAAAGAATCCCAGAGAAGTAAGTCCAGCATTGGGGATGCTTTTCCCTAGGATGATCTGCTACTGCTTCAACAAGAAGCTGGCAGGCCTTTAAGAATCAGCTAAAGATAGCTGTTCTCCTGCGAATAAAAACTGAGTTCAGAATCTGCCATGAATGGGATTGGCTATGCCAAAGTACCCCTTAGGAACAAAGGCAAACCAAAAATAGGTTGTCCCTCATAAGGACTGATGCCCAATCCAATCAGCTCAATACCAATAAGTGGATTAAAGTGACGAGAGACTGCAAGTGTCTCTAATTACCTACCAGAAGAAATAAAATCAGACGCAAGATAATAAGACCAAATTCCCAGGAAAAAAGACAAAAGAAACAGATCCACAGGGGATACAGATAATGGAGTTATCAGAGAAGATTCACAATTCTCCCGAGTATATTTAAGGATATAAAAGACAATACTGAGACCTCTAGCAGAGAATAAGATATTGTAAATATAGAACTAAGTGTAAGTTCTATAACTGGAAGTAAAAATAACAAATTAAGAACTCAATATGTTTAACAGCAAATTGAATATAAATGAAGATAGACTTGGAAGAAAATGAATGAAAAATTCAGAATGAAGATGTAAGAGACAATAATGAAAAAAAAAAACAAAACAGAAAGAATATAATAGAAAAAAGGGATACAGTGAGAGGATCTATGGCACATAACAACAAAATAAACCATACTAGTACCTGCACTCAAAGAACAGAGAAGAGATAATGGAACAAAAGTTGTATTTGAATAAACGATGGGTGAGAATTTCCCCAAACGTGAGAGAGTCAATAATCCAAATTTTAAGAATGTCTATAGAGCCATGGAGGAGCTCTGGTAGCGTAGTGCCTAAGGCACTCGACGGCTAACCAGAAGGTTGGTGGCTCAAACCCACCAGCCATTCCTCAGAAGGAAGGTTGGGCAATCTACTTCTGTAGTGATACCGCCTTGGAAACCCAAGGAGGGGTTGCTATGAGTCGGGTTCGACTTGACGGCACATGACAACAACAACATATAGCCATGGTAGTGCAGTGGTTAAAGCACTCAGCTGCTAACCATAAGGTCTGTGGTTGAAACCCACCGCCACTCCAAGGGAGAAAGATGCAGCAGTCTACTTCTATAGAGAGTTACAGCCTTGGAAACCCTGCGGGGCAGTTCTACTCTGTCATATACCCCCCCCAAAAAAAAACCCAAACTTACTGCCATCGAGTCTATTCCAACTCATAGTGACCCCCTTTGGGTTTCGGAGGCAGTAAATCTTTACAGAAGTAGATTGCCCAGTCTTCCTTCCACAGAGTGGCTGTTGGGTTTGAACCAAATGGTTAGCAATCAAATGCCTTAGGCACTATGCTACCAGAGTGCCTTACCCTGTCACATAGGGTGACGATATATAATATCCATTGCCTCTTGCCACAGATGCAATCAATTTGATTCCTGTGTACTCCATCTGGTGAAGTCCACGTGTATAGCTGCCGTCTGTGTTGTGGAAAAAAGGTATTTGCAATGAGTATGTTGTTGGTCTCACAAAATTCTATCATGTGATCTCCAGGATTATTTCTGTCACCAAAGCCAAATTTTCCAACTGCCAATGTTCTTTGTTTCCAATTTTTGCATTCCAGTCACCAGTGATAATTAACACATCTTGATTGCATGTTCAGTCAATTTCAGACTGCAGAAGTTGATAAAAATCTTTAATTTCCTCATCTTCGGCTTTGGTGGTTGGTGAATAAATTTGAAAAATAGTAGTATTAACTGGCCTTCCTTACAGACATATGGATATTATCCTATCACTGAGAACATGTACTTCAGGACAGATCTTGAAACATCCTTTGTGCTGATGACTGCCACGTCATTCCTTTTCAAGTTGTTATTCCCGGCACGGTAGATCATATGGTTGTCAGATTCAAAATGGCCAAAACTGGTCCATTTCACCTCACTAATGCCTAGGATATCAATCTTTATGTGTTCCATTTCTTTTTCTTTTTTTTTTTAATTGTGATTTGGGTGAAGATTTACATAGCAAATTCACTTTCCATACAGCAGTTCACATATACTTTGTCTCATGACATTGTTTGCCACAATGCAACATCCCCTCTCACTTCCTCCCCATAGTTACCTCTTCCTTGTGTCCATCCCTCCATGGACTCCTGCCCCCTGAGCTGTCTCCCAGTGCATAAGCAGCCCTTCTTTCTCCCATGATTGTTCTCTCCAAGGAGAGTATCTACTTGGGGTAAATGTTCAACTCATATGCCTGTATTTTGTTTGGCTAGAAACCACAGGTGTGGGTTCAATTCCAGAGCTGAAGGGCAGCTAGGGGCCATAGTCTCAGTGGTTCCACAAGGCTGTATCAGACCAGCAAACCTGATCCCCCCCCATTTTTTTTTTCCTCCAAATGATTTTGAGTTTCGTACCACATTGTTCTCCCTCTCTATCAGGGATCTCCTACATAGATCCCCTTCCAAGTGGATGACAGTGGTAGCTGGGCACCATCTAGTTCTTCTGGTCTCATAGTCTTACAGGCTACAGATTGGATGGTGTACCAGTTGCTAGGACTAATTGTTTCCATGAATTTTGGTTTTCTTCATTTTTCTTTGCTCTGGACGAGAAAAGACCCATCGTTGCATCTAGATGGCACCTTACTAGCTTTTAAGATCCCAGTCGCTACTTGCCAAAGTAGGAGGTGGATATGTGCTCCATTTCATTTTGACAACTTCCAATTTTCCTACATACATACTTCGTACATTCCATGTTCCGATTATTATTAATGGATGTTTGCAATTGTTTCTCCTCAATTTGAGTCCTGTCATGTTAGCAAATGGAGGTCCTGAAAGCTTTAATTTAGCCATTATCACTAAGGTCAGTTTTACTATGATGAGGCAGCTCTTTCCCAGCCATATTTTGAGTGCCTTCCGACCTAACTCATCTTCCTGCACTGTATCAGACAATGTTTCCAGGCTACTCATAAAGTTGCCCAATAATGTATAAGACAGTGTTTCTCTGCTATTCATAAGGTTTTCACTGGCCAATTCTTTGAGAAGTGGATGGCCTCTTCCTAGTCTGTCTCAGTCTGTAAGCTGAACTGAAATCTCTCCACCATGAGCAACCCTGCTGGTGTTTGATACAACGGGGGCACATCCTCAAGCCTCATAGCAACATGCAAGCCACCACAGTATGACAAACTGACAGACAAGTGTGTTTCCCTTAGCTGTTCAAAACCACTCTTCCCTCCCCTTACCTGGGTCTCTGCTGCTCGGTCTTTCATGCCCCAGCTTTTTCTCTTTCCCACTTCCTGCCTCTTGGGGGTAGGGCCTATCACCCTCCCCTTATCTGCATCCCTGCCGCTCAGTCTGTCATCTCCTGGCTTTTATTCCCCCCACCTCGTGCCTCTTGGGGGTGTTGACATGATGTGATTTCTGCCCAGTGCTCTGAATGTCAAAGTGAAGAAATTCAATGAAGTGCAGGCAAACGGCAAGAGTAACTATGACTCTCTAAAGGTTGCCAAATGCTTCGTCATCTAATTAGTGACAATGCCTCATACCAACCCTATATACAACAAAATGAAACAATGTTTGGTTCTGTGCCATCTTCATAATATTTGCTATGCTTGAGCCCATCATTGCAGCCAATGTGTCAAGCCATATCACTGAGGGTTTTCTCTTTTTTTTCTGATTGTCTACTTTTCCAAACATGATATCCTTCTCCAGGGATGGTCCCTTCTGGTAACACAACCAAAGTAAGTGAAATGAAGTCTGGCCATTCTCACTTCTAAGAAGTATTCTGGCTGTATTTCTTGCAAGACAGATTTGTTCGTTCTTCTGGCAGCCCATGGTATTTTCCATATTCTTCACCAGCACCACAATTCAAATGCATCAACTCTTCTTCGATCGTCTTTATTCACTGTGCAACTTATATATGCATATGAGGTTACGGGAAATACCAAAGCAGGGGTCAGGTGCACCTTAGTCTTCAAAGTGACATCATTGCTCTTTAACATTTCAAAGAGCTCTTTTGCAGCGGATTTGCACTGCATGGTATGTCATCTGATTTCCTGACTGCTGCTTCTGTGGGCATAGATTATGGATGCAAGTAAAATGAAGTCTCTGATAACTTCAATCTTTTCTCTGTTTATTGTGATGTCCCTTACTGGACCAGTTGTGAGGATTTTTGTTTTATATCAAGGTATAGCAACTGAAGGCTACAGTCTTTGATCTTCATCAGTAAATGCTTCAAGTCTTCTTCACTTGCAGCAAGTAAGGTTGTGTCATCTGTATATCACTGGTTGTTGATGAGTCTTCCTCCAATACTGATGCGGCATTCTTCTTCTAGTCTAACTTCTAGATTATTTGCTCAGCATACAGACTCAGTAAGCAAGGTAAAAGGATACAACCCTGATGCACAGCTTTCTTGATTTTAAACCATGCAGTAACTTGTTCTGTATGAACAACCGGTTTTTGGTGTATGTACATGTTCCTCATAAACACAATTAAGTATCTGGAATTCCCATTCTTCACAATGTTATCCATAATTAATTATAATCCACACTGTCAAATGCCTTTACACAGTCAATAAAACACAGGTAAACATCTTTCTAGTATTCTTTGCTTTCAGCCAAGATCCATCTGATATCAGCAATGATAACCCTCATACCATGCCCTCTTCTGAATCCAGCTTGATTTCTAGCAGTTCCCTGTCAACAGACTGCTGCAACCATTTTTGAAATATTTTCAGCAAAATTTTACTTGTACATGATATTAACAATATTGCTCGATAATTTCTGCATTCTGTTAGATCATCTTTCTTTGGGATTGGCATAAATACGGATTTTTTGCAGTCACTTGACAGAAATGTGTAAGCACCTCCAGTGTTGTATTCGTTTGTTTAAACATCTCAGTGGGTATTCCATCAATTTCTGGAGACTTATTTTTTTGCCAGTTTCTTCAGTGCTGCTTGGATTTCTTCCTTCAGTACCACTGGTTCTTGATCACACAAAGGGCAAAGCTATGAAAACTTCTTACCCATAACTAAACAGCTTGAAGGAAATAGTCACTAGGGCTGGGGATACAGGACCATAATCTTGGAGGACATCAAGTTCAATTTGCATAACAGCCCACAAAGATAATGTTCTATATCCTGCTTTGGTGAGTAGTGACTAGGGTCTTAAAAGATTATAAGTGACCATCTAAGGTATAAACACTGTTCTCTCCCCATCTGGAGCAAAGAAGAGTGAAGGAAAGGAAAGATACATGGAAACAATTACTCCAAAGGACTAATGGACCACACAAACCCCAGTCTCCACTATCCTGACACCAGAAGAACTGAACGGTGCTGACTAGCACTGCTGAGCGCTCTAAAAGGGATCAGAGTAGAAGAATATGAATAGAATAGGAGAAATATGTGGAACAAAATGCAAAAAATCACAAAAAAGACCAGGCTTACTGATCTGACAGAGACTGGTAGAACCCCCGAGACTATGTCCCTTAGAGACACCCTCTGGTACTAGAACAAGACTCATCATGCTGGTTACTCCAATTTCAGCCAAAAAACAGACAGACACATAAGGAATAAAGTAACACCGTGGAGGTATGTACTCACTAGAACAACTAAGCATACAGGACCAAAGGGCAGCATTTGCCCAGGGATAAAGTTCAGAAGGCAGGAAGGAATAGAAAAGGACGAATCCAGTAAACACAGGGAAGAAGTGAGAAGTGTGCTGTTAAATTGTTAAATCAATGTTATGAATCAAAATACATATGAATTACTGAACGTAAAACCAAAATTTGCTATGTAAACTTTCACCCAAATCACAAGTTTGAAAAAAAAAGTCACACTGTAACTCAAAAAAAAAGAATATATACACACACGTGTGTGTTTTTGTGTGTATGTATACATGTTTCCTTTTACATAAAGTTCAAAAACTGGTGAAATCAATAAGGTGTTAAAAGTCAGGAGGGGGCAGGAAATGGTTTCAAGGATATTGGCAATGTTTTCTCTCTTCATCTCGAATTCACAGTGTGCAATTTGTGATAATCCATTTGGCTGTTAAGTTTGTTTTATATATTCTTTTGTATGCATATTTGACAGCAATAAAAATCTTTTTAAAAATTTAAAGAACACTTAAAACTGAAGTCAGAAGAAAAAAAAACGTGTAACAGCATATATGTAGATGTCTCTTGGTTTTACATAAGAACTATGACAGCATGGTTTTAACTTTCCTTCACGAAAGGCATACAATACCTCCATATTGTCTGTATCAGCAGTTAATGTCACATCACTTTCATCCTCTTGCGAAATATTCTCCAATTCTTCAACCTTAAGTGTAACTAATCCTTCACTTACTTGTGCCTTTGATTGCTCATTTAAATCTCCTGTAGAAAATATAAAATATTCAACTTACAAATAAATACTATTTCTGTGTGATAAGGTCCAGTCAAAATGATTAACTGCACTGGAATTAAGTCTTTGTACTCCAAATGTCATCCTGACAAAAACTGTTTAAAACTACAGTCAGTAGGACAAAGGCAGTATTGTTAATTTGGATCCATCCTGTAAATTACAAATTTTGAAGGAAGACTGTGGATTTTAATTTCTTCCTTGTAAACACTCACATGAACCCATTTAATATTTTTTAGCTTTAAACATTTCAGAAATATACACTGAGTTCAAAAGTGAGTATCTTTACAACAATAAAAAAATCAACCAACTATAAACAAAGAAACTCTTGATCCCATCTCTCCTAGTGAACAGCAGGATCTTTAAGACATGGAGTCTATCCTATACAGCTCCCTATGTTATGTAGCACCAGGCTCTATATTAGCAAAAAGTAGCTGTTTAATAATTGTGTGTTGCCCAAGAAAGTTTGATTTTAAATATCTGTCAGAGATATTTATCATATTTAAACTATCCTAGTCTAAATCTCAAAATACTTCTTTAATTCAGTAGTTTATTTGAACAAAGTAGCTCACTGGAACAAATCATTTTATTTACTTTGGTTTTTATGAAAGGATTTAGGTGGATTTTGGCCAACTTGTTTCCTCTTTAGATTGAAAAGGTAATGTGAGATTAATACATCAATCAAATCCTTAACCAATACTGAAAAAATTGAAAGTGGTAACAGACAGTCCCTGGATTATATAAAAATTACATTCCTAACTCTGTCCTTATGTCAAATTTGTACATAAGTCAGAACAGCTATATATGGTGTGTAGCTCTGGTAGTGTTGTGTCTAAGGCACTTGACTGCTAACCAGGAGTTACCAGTTCAAACCCAACAGCCACTCCTCAGAAGGAAAGTTGGGCAATCTACTTCCATAGTGATACCACCTCAGAAACCCAAGGAGGTGTTGCCCTTTGTAGTTTAGTCGGGTCCGACTTGATGGCACATAACAAAAATAGCTAATATCAGTCAAATGTTTGTCTTAGTATATAGTATATATAGTGTACTTTTCTATGCATTAAAAAAATGAAGAAATACTTCCAAATACACTAAAACATTTTTAACATAATAATATAGTAGTAGTGGGAGTTCTGGTAGCGTAGTGCCTAAGGCATTTGACTGCTAACCAGAAGGCTGGAGGTTCAAACCCACCAGCCACTCCTCAGAAGGAAAGTTGGGCAATCTACTTCCATAGTGATACCATTTCGGAAACCCAAGGAGGAGTCGCTAGGAGTTGGATCCAATTCAATGGCAGTGAGTTTAGTTGATTTTGGTATAGTAGTATGTGGTAGGTAAAGTTGTATGTCAACTTGGCTGGGCCTGGTTGAGTGGCTGGATAGCTGGTAGCAGTTATTCCCTGTGATGAGACTGGCAATCAATTCCATGGTGGCATCTACCACAAGCAGCTGAGTAGCTGCTTTAGGGATGTGTTGTGCTTCCCGTATATAAGTAGCAACTTTGGGAATGATCTCTAGCTTATGGCACGCTTGAACTCTGCACATAGTTGTGTCATCGTTCAGCAGCCTGCCATGCTCTGCTGATCGTGGGACTTTTAATGGACTTGAATTAATGGCCTGCCATATGGTTTGGTAACCTCAGGACTGTGCCTGTTTACCTGTCAATCTTGGGCTTGTCAGCCTCAGCAGCCAGCAGCTGTCTGAGAGAAGAGAAGGCTCTAGCTTCAGTGGGCCAGGAACAGGAGGCAGAGCTGAAGCCCAAGATTGAGGGGCTTTCACCCAGCCCCAAGAGCCTGACACTTTGAACTTGGACTCAAAGCCTCCAAACCGTAAGAATAAATTCCTCTTTGTGAAGGCCATCCCATTTGTGGTATATTCCTGTCAGAATGACACCAGGTAACCAAAACATAGTACTAATAGAAATGTTTTGAGGCATGTCACAAAGTAGTGCCTATTTGTAATTACAAACCAGTGTATTTATCTCAAATTTTTAATACAATAGGCTTTATGAGGGTTGGTTTGTAACAACAAGTTGTACGTAAGTCTCTGATGTTCATAACCTGGGGGGTGCCTGTAGACATTTACACTCATAAAGGACCTAGTAAGTTACAGGAAAAAACAAGTTTCCTAAAAGCCCCTTCATTTGTTATATTACCTGCAAATAAATTTTGGTTAAGATGAGCCATTTCTTTTTCCAAATTGCTCCTTGATGAGTCCAATTTCTGTACTAAAGCAACTGGTTCTCTCTTCTCTGGTGATCTAATAAAATAACCAAATGATGGCTACAAAGTAAGCAAACATGTGAATTATTTCCTTAATTTTCAGCTGCTTTAAGAAATTCTAGACTTAACGCTAATAACCTGTATCTAAATGACTTCGACATAATATAATCTTTCTTTCCACTTAATTTTAAATTACTAAAGATAAAAACTCTAGATAGGACCTTCTGTTTCCTTACTACTAAACCGTCTTAATCATCAGAACTAATACTGTCAAATAAATTGCCTTTAGTAAGAACTCAAATTAAAACAACCCAGAAACGGTACTTTATTCCCTCAACAATTACTACTGAGTGCAAGGCCAGGCACTGTTCTAATGTCAATGGCATATGGTGGTGGGGGGGGGGGGATATAAAAATTCCTGTCTTTCTGGAACTTACAGCATAAACCAAAAACCTATTGTCATTGAGTTGACTCTGATTCATGTCAACCTCATGTATATCACAGAACAACTGCGCTCCATATGGTTTTCAATGGCTGATTTTTCTGAGGTAAATCACAAGATCTTTCTTCTGAGGTACCTCTGGGTGGACTTGAACCTCCAACCTTTCAGTTAGCATCTGAGTGTATTAATTGTTTGTACCACCCAGGGAGTCCTAATTTACAGTATATGGGTATTCTATTTTAGAAGATGTTTAAATAGGTCTTTGAAAATCTGCATTAAGATTTGGGTGAATCTTCACCCAAATCACAATTAAAGAAAAAAAAAAGAAAGAAAGAAAATTGCTGGGGATATGGTCTTGCCCCCTACTCTGCTCTAAAAAAAAAAAAAAAAAAAAAAAGATTTGGTATGCTCCTACTGACATGGATGAAAGCATCAGAAATGTTTGCCTTCAAGGATCAGGGAATTCCAATTTGTCATTTTTTACTGAATTTCACATGATATACCTAAAATGGGAGCTTTTAAATGTGCTCAATTTTTAAATAATCTTCACTTGGCAATTTCTTCCCTTGACTCAGTAACTTAAACTCAAGTAAAATGTATCACTAATAGCAGAATAAAAATTCCTACTAATAAATCTATTTTTCCATGATCCAGTATTTTGTCCATCTATTTAATAAAGAATTCAATTACTCTTCAACTTCTCTCATAACCTCAAAAATCCAGGTGGAAAAACCCACCTTCCTATTTTTGCCTTTGTCTCAGGTGTGTGTCTCTTGTAGACAGCATATTGATGTTTTCTTACCTAGTCTTATCCAGTCTGCAACACTCCATCTCTTGAGTGGTGCATTTAATCTATTGACATTCAGTGTAACTATCGACAAGTATGAATTGGTTCCTGTCATTTTGTCATGTGTTTTTTGTGGTATTCCTGGTTTCTTTGTTCCATATAATTTTCTGTGCTGAAATTATTTAGTTTATGAATCTTCCCATTACTTCCTTCATTGTTGTTGATGTAGTATTTGCTAAATATTTGTGCTGGTCCTCTTTTTTATTATGATGGGAAGGTTTATCATTTATTTTTTGAGGCTACCCTATGATTTGTAATTTTCTTCCTGAGTTTAGAACAGTCCATCCTATCTTGCAATTCTCTTGACTTCCTCACCATTTAGAAGTTCTGTAACTACACTATTTTTTCTCCGCTCTTTGGTTTGTACTTGTCCTCATTTGCCAGCTGATGTCTCTGGTTCCCTGTTTACAATCTTATAAGCTTATTTTACTTTGGATATGTCCATAGCTGTGTTGGATTCTGGGTTATGTCATCATGTGTATTAACGGTCAGTTGTTGCTTGCTACTATTGGTTCTCTGTTCAAAGGACTCCCTTTAGTACCTCTTGTAAGGCTGTTCTGGTTTTAAAAAATTCCCTTAATTTCTGCTTATCTGGGAATGTCCTAATCTCACCATTTGAGGGACGATTTTGCTGGGTATATAATTCTTGGTTGGAAAATTTTCTCTTTCAGGGTTTTATATATATCATCCCATTGCCTCCTCGCCTGCATGGTTTCTGACAAGAAATCAGAGCTTAGTCTTATTGGTTGCCTTTGTAGGTAACTTTTCATTTTTCTTGTGCTGCTTTCAAAATTCTTTCTTTTGTTTGGTTTTGGTGAGTTTGATGATAATATGTCTCGGTGATTTTCTTTGGGGGTCTATCCTGTTTGGGGTTTATTGGGCTTCCTGAATGGCTATATTCTCATCTTTCATCATATCAGGGAAGTTCTCCTCCAGAATATCTTGGACAATTTTCTCAGTGGTTTTCTTTTTCTCTTCCTGCTCTGGAATTCCAATAACATGTAGGTTATTCCTTTTGATGGTATCTCACATGAATCTTAGGTTTTCTTCATTTTGTTTTGAAGTATTCAGGTATTTGTCTTCAGTCTCATTAATTCGGTCTTCCACTGATTCAATTCTACTCCTTTGCCCTTTCAATCTACTTCTGAAAATTTAGTATTAATCTTACTGGATTTCTATCTGTAGATTTTGCATCATTTCTAATTTTTCATTCATTTTGTCATTTTGTTCCTGCATTTTCTTTCAAATTTGTTCTAGGGTTTTCTGTGTTTTCCTCAATTTTATCAGTGTTTTGTTTGATATGTCTTTCAATCCGTCAAAGGTACCAAAATGTGTTTCTTGAATTCCTTATCAGGGAGTTCAATGCTGCTTCTTCCTCAGAGATGTGCTCTGATCTGTATCCTGCTCCCTTGTTTCTACTGCTTTATCTTGCTTCTTTGTGTTTACTGTGATGGTCTGCTGTCTCCAAGACATTGTGACTTTGTTGTATTTATATTTAACTGGCGATTGTATGTTGGAGTGATTCATCCAAGATTTTAGTTTTCTTTGTTTTTGGATGTATCTGAGTAACGTGGGTATTGTGCTCCTCTATTCGCTATTTGGCAGCACTTATGCACTCAACACCTGCCTCCTGCTGGATTGATAGAGAATGAGCGGCTGTTTGTGAAGAGCAGTTAAGGGTGAGTCAGGCTCTTATTGGTGGTCATGTATCATTGGCCAGTTGGTACAGAAGGAAGTGGTGGCTCTCACTCAGTAAGTGGAAATGCAGGAGGTATGGGTGTGGTTGCATATTATGGGCACAGCTGCTGTCTTCCACTCATTTAGACAAAAACAAAATTGAAAAACTATCAAAAAAGTAAAAAGCAAGAGGACAAAAAATATACACTGCATAAACACACAGGAACAATCACCAAAAAGAGAAAAGAAAAAAAAAAAGAGAAAGGCAATAAATCAGAGAACATATTTAAAGAAATACTTTAAAAAGCTAAAAGAAACATGCATAGAAAAAGGGAAAAAAAGAGATTAAAAAAAAAAAAAAAACCTGATACCTGCACTATCTAGAGAGGGGGATTAAGAGAAAAGAGATAGGAAATAATGAAGAAAAATATGTGAAAAATACAAAAAGAAAAACAAGGAATGGGGAGAACCACAAGAAAGAAAATGATGGGAATCAGGAACAGGGAAGAAAGAAAAAGCTGAAAACTAGAACCTGGGAAGGGAAGAAGAAAGAAGAATAATAAAAAGAATGAAAAAAAAGAAGAAGAATAATTCTAAAACAGACAAAAACAACTTAAAAAAAGGGAAAAATTCTGGGCAGGGCTCCCAGACTCCATCAGAGCATACCAACTGAGACAGAATTCCTGCCAGCCCAGAAGATGGGTTGGAGTGATGGATGGCTGCACCTCCATTCACCAAGAGAGTGTGAAAGACCACTCTGCTAAAGTATTTTCGTTTTTTAATTTACTGCATAGACAGGACCACAGTTCAATGTCAAATTTTAAGTTCTGTGAATTAACTGATTTCTAACAAAGTATCTGTTATTTCAAAATTATACTCCCAGTGGAATCTAGTTTTAATAAACACTCGCTCCAATAACCTTAATTCCCTATACGGAATTTATCAACAAGGCCTCTGACTTCTTACCATCAAAATATATCTTGAACCCTTCCACTTTCTTGTTTCCATGTTATTCTTCCTCTTCCCCAGCCTTTATCACATCACTTCCTGTTAGCTAACCCTCTCCAATTTCTTCTCCTCTGACAAGTTGGTGTTCTATTTGGTGGTAATATATTGCAGCTGGTTATAGGCCTGACACTATGACAAAAGAGATCCTTGACTCCAAGTGCTTCCTCCCAGTTCATTTTAAATAAAAAGTTACTCCTGCACAGGCCCCCTTCATGATCTATGCCATCTACTTGTAGCATTACCCCATGCTACCTTATTCTACTTCCACCCCAGTTAAGTTTTATTTGTCTGCTTTCTATTCCATCAATATGCCAATCTAATTCCTTTATGTGGGTCTGCATACATGTCACGCCCCTTTGCCAAGAACTCTTCCTCCAAACATTTGGGTATTGCCTGCCTGTCACTATTTTGGTCTTGTTTCAAATTACAAACTCTCAGATGTTGCCCTGAACACCAAATTGAAGTAGCTCTTTTTCCTAACTCATTCTTCATAGTATTTACCACTATCTGACTCATGTGCATTTATTTTGATGTGTTAGATTTTAATAAACCAAGCCACTCTTATATTTCAAAATAATTTTCTAGATATCCAGTTAGAAAACTCTAAGAACTCTTCAGCATACCTTTCCTGATTTTAAACCCTGCATTATCCCCTTGTTTTGTCTGAATGACTGCCTACTGGTCTATGTACAGGTTACTCACAAGCACAAGTTAAGTGTTCTGGGATTCCCATTCTTCACAATGTTATCCGTAATTTGTTATGATCCACAAAGTCGAATGCCTTTGCATAGTCAATAAAACACCAGTAAATATCTTTCTGGTATTCTCTACTTTCAATCAAGATCCATCTGGCATCAGCAATGATATTCTTCATTCCATGTTCTTTCTGAATGCAGCTTGAATTTCTGGCAGTTCCCTATCAACATACTGCTGCAACAGCTTTTTTTATTATCTTAAGCAAAATTTTACTTGTATGTGATATTAATGATATTGTTCAAAAATTTCCACATTTTGTTTGAGCACTTTTCTTTGGAATGGGCACAAATATGAATCTCTACCAGTTGGCTAACTCCCAAATTTCTTGGCATAAATGAGTGAGCACCTCCAGCACTGCATTTATTTGTTAAAACATCTTAAATGGGTGTTCCATCAATTCCCAGAGCATTATTTTTTTTGCCAGTTCCTTCAGTGTAGCTTGGACTTCCTTCTTTAATACCATTGCTTCTTGATCAGTATCACCAGTCAGCTACCTCCTGAAACGGTTGCATATCAACCAATTCTTTTTGGTACAGTGACTGTATATTCCTTCCATCCTCTTATAATGCGTCCTGTATTGTTCAGTATTTTGCCCATGGAATTCTTCAATATTACAACACAAAGCCTGATTTTTTTCTTAAGTTCCTTCACTTAAAAAAATGCTAAGAATGTTCTTCCCCTTTGACTTTCAATTTCCAGGTCTTTGCACATATAATACTTTACTTTGTCTTCTTGAGCTGTCCTTGAAATTCATATCTTTTACTTCATCATTTCTTCCATTCACTTTAGCTACTCTCAAGACAACATTTCAGAGTCTCTTCTGACATCCATTTTGGTCTTCTCTTCCTTTCCTGTTTTTTTTTAATGACCTTTTGCTTTCTTCATGTATGTTCTTGATGTCAATCCACACTCATCTGGTCTTTGGTCACTGGTGTTCAATGTATCAAATCTATTCTTCACATGGTCTCTAAATTCAGGTAAGATATACTCAAGGTCTTATTTTGGGTCTCATGGACTTGTTTTTATCTTCTTCAGCTTCAACTTAAAATTGAATATGAGCAATTGATGGTCTGATCCAGTCAGCCCCTGGCCTTATTCTGACTGATGATATTGAGCTTCTCCACTGCATCTTCCCACTGATAGCATAGTGGCTAAACCCACCAGCCACTCCTCAGAAGAGAGATTGGGCAATCTACTTTTGTAGTGACACCACCTCAGAAACCCAAGGGGGGGTTGCTATGAGTGAGGGCAACACAATGGCACATAACAACAAAAAATATAGTCAATCTGATTCCTGTGTATTCCATCTGGCGAGATCCATGTGTATAGTTGCCACTTGTGTTGTTTAAAAAAGGAAACTGCAATGAACAAGTTATTGGTCATGCAAAATTCTATCATGTGATTCACAGAGTCATTTCTATCACCAAGGCCATACTTTCCAACTACCAATGCATCTTTGTTTACAACTTTTGTATTCCTATCACCAGCAATTACCAATACATCTTGGTTGCATGTCTGGTCAACCTGAGACGGCAAAAGTTAGTAAAAGAAAAAAAAATCTTTTGTTTCTTCATCTATGACTTTAGAGGTTGGTGCATAAATTTAAGTAATAGTTGTATTAACTGGTCCTCCTCATAGATGTATGGATACTATCCTATCACTGACAGCATTTTACTTCAGGATAAACCTTGAAATATTCTTTTTGATGATAAATGTGATGCCATTCCTCTGTCATTGGTGGCATAACAGGGCATATGATTTGTGATTCAAAATGGCCCAAACCTGTCCATTTCAGGTCACTAATGCCTACTAGGATATCAATCTTTATGTATGACTAATTAAAAAGCAAGACTAAAACTGAAGTCAGTCCTAAGCTTTTTAACCACTACATTATAATGCCCCTGTTCTCTCTCTGCTTTAAAGAAACTATGTTCTAGTTTAGCCATCTGAAACACATTTCATACTTACTCTTTTTACATTGTTACCACCACCAAGGCAACCAAGAGCTTCAGATCTCTGAGCAAAGAACTCTCCTAAAGACAGACGTAAATAACTGGCATCATCTCTGTCCAAATCTGATGTGCTAAATGATTTCCTCAACAGACTGAAATTAACTGAAGTTCCCCAGGACGCATCCCCTAGTGCAAATGAAGTGTTCTGAGCATCTATATTTTCTTCCTAGGAAGAAATACAGTTGATGTTATTTTTTTTTTTCTGCCAGCAAGCTTTCTTTCTCCTCTTCTAATGTGTAAAACAAAAAATTTAACTAAAAAATTTTTAAAATTAATTTTTTAAAAATTAGAAAATTGAAGGTTACTCAGCTAATAAAGGTAATAAAGTCCAGAAAAAGAGAAATTCAGTTTTAAAATACCTAAGTTATAATATGCATTGTCTTAATACATTGCTTAATCAAACACTAATCATCACCAATAAAAAAATTTTTACAAGGGTACAGTTTCCCAGAAAATAAATAAGATTACCTCATTTCAAAATATTGCTAAAACCCATGGGAATATCTGTGAAGCCTATTAAAGAGATTTTAATTGAATTAAAAGTATATTTTATATATTACAGTTCTTTGCAATTAATAATTTAGAGTATGAAGTAAAAAGCAGAAATTGTCTGAACATGAGAAAATTAAAAGATAATTCTATACTAACTTTATTCAGACAGAAATCAATATTTTCCCTACTTTTAAATTAATTAAAAAAGAAAATTTAAAACTTTAGTTAATGCAAATAAATACAAACCTGCATAAATTGATGCTCTTTATTAAATTCTTCTTCATCTTTTACAATCAAAGCTAGCGCTTCAGCTTAAAAAAGAAAAAGTTTATATAATTACATCATATAATGCCTAATTAAATACTAGCACAAAGATAAAACTTAGTTAGGAAAATGAAATACTTAAGACATAAAATTGATTAAAAAAAATTTGTGAAAGTTTCTGTTTACATAACTGATGGATTTGTTTTGTTAAGTATGCAGCTGTCAAACTTTTGGTTATGAAAACCCTAGTGGAATTGATTTTATCATTTGCTAACTTGCCCTAACTTATTAATGAGCTTTAATTTTTTAAAAGATTCAAATTAATATTAGCTTAAAAAGAGTTTGTATACTTAAGTTATGGTTCTCACTACTCACGGGATTTCATCTGGAATAATCAACATGATTAAGCCTTGGGAGCTCTGGTAGCATAGTGGCTAAAGCACTTGACTGCTAACCAGAAGGCTGGCGGTTCAAACCCACCAGCCACTCCTCGGAAGGAAGGTTGGGCAATCCTACTTCCGTAGTGATACTGCCTCAGCAACCCGAGGAGAGGTCGCTATGAGTCGGGGCCGACTCGACGGCACATAACAACAACAACAACAAACACTTCATGAAAATGTCTACTACCTGTTGGTTGGCCTAAGACTGTTGAGCTTGAGAAATTAAAGTCCTACAAACACAGGAAGCTCTGCGTCTGGGCAAAAGGGGCAGCTGGTCACCTAATATCTGTCCTCAAGTTCCCAATGAACACCTCAATTCACCCTGGGAAATGAATGTATGCTTACCCACACCAGTCCAGACATTCAGTTTCTAGGCTAAGACTGAAATGATTCATAGGCCAGGGGTAAATGAGCAAAGAGTTCCAGGCATAACACAACAGGGAGTGGTGATGATAGTGGCAACATAGAAAACATATGAACCTGCTTAAGACATTAGAATTAAAGAGGATTTTCTAAATCAGAAAAGCTAGCAGGCTAAACTCCTGTTAGCTTGCTGGCTATCCATGTTGGGTCTTTGCCTAGTACTCCAGGTCAAAAAATCCCACTGCCATCCAATTGATTGTGACTCATAGTAACCCCTATTAGGTTTTCAAGACTGTAAATCTTTACAGAGGTAGACTGCCTCTTCCTCCCATGGAGGAAGATGGGTTTGAACCACTGACCTTCTGGTTAGCAGCAAAATGCCTTATCCACTATGCCACGAGAGCTCCTTGGCACACCAGGTTGAATAGCTGAAACTGAAATAGTAAACAGCAACCCAGAAGGAACAACCCAGCCCATAGCATACCAAGAGAGATGCTGCCCACTCGGTCAGGAAAAGTAGAGCATCAAAGACAGCTCAGAATTCCTACTTGTCAGAATTGTGCTAGTTTTTTACTTTGCAAATCTATCACTTCTTATATATAAACACATTCTTAACCTACATGTCTGTGAATGAGCATCAGGAGAACTGTGAATCACCCAAAATTACATGCAAAACTATATTCTACATAAAGATTTTTCTAGGAAGAGTCTCTGAGAGAGCTATGACTTAAAGTTAAGTTAAAAACCACAACCCTACAATGTGAAAGTATCAACCAATTAATAATCTAACAGTCAAGATGGGACAAGAAGGAGACTCTACCTTTAAGAAGGTACCCGAAAAGAAACTTATTTTAAATCTTACATGGTTTTTAGGACACTGTGTAGATGGCTCAAAACACTATTATATTCCTGAATATGTTTTCTCTGATTGTTTAAGAGACCCTTCAGCCAAATATCTTCAATAAAACTGTGTTAACTTGTACAGTTATCAGAAACTAGTTACAAATTACAAGACAGCAGAACTTCATTTGCTGTAAGAATCTTTGCCAAACCTAAAACAATATTGCTTTCATTATCACCTAAATGCTTTTGTGGTTCAATTTTGAGAGAGCCCTTACTGCTTCCCTACCGATATTTTACAAATCTTAGGCAATAAGCAGAAGTAATGTACTACCTCACATGTATGGAGTTATTACAACAGGAGTAGGTGGGGCTATTATCTTGTAAGTAAAATTTCTGAGTAAGTTTCTCAGTAGGTAAATTTTCATTCAAAATGACTTAGACATTATACAACTTTGCGTTCCATCAAATCTTCCTCTTCTCAATATTACCTTTTCTTTCATTTTCAAAACTCCCTTCTCCTCTCTTCCTATGAAAAAGGCTCCCATTTCATTGATATTCTTGACCTGGTTCATCCTTTCTAGTTCCCACTCTTCTCTGCTTCCACTGAACCTTTATTATTTTTCTATACTCACTGCCTTCATTTCTTCATCACCCATGCTATGCATCTTTTGCAAACTGGCAAACTGTGGTTGTCTCCTAACCACAAGTATGGTTTCATAAAATTTTTCTATTATCTTTCTCAATTTTATCTTTAATAGTAATATATTTACATGGTTCAAAATTCAAAAGGTATATGTACATATATAATAATTCAATAAGGAGTTAAAAAAAATAATCAAAAGACATAAAAGGGTATACTATGAAGTCTCCCTTTCACCCCTAAGCCTAGTCCACCACACTCCCAGAAATGACCAATGTATAAATCAAAACAACAAAACCAAATTCACTGCCATTAAATTGATTCTGATTCACAGAGACCACCTCCACACCCCATGGGTTTCCAAGGCTGTAAACCTATATGGAAGCAGACTGCCTCATTTTTCTTCCATGGAGCAGCTGGTGGCTTTGAACCACTGACCTTCTGGTTAGCAGCCAAATGCCTTAAGCACTATACCACCAGAACAACTTAACCAATGTATAATTTAAACCAAAAAAACAAATTATCATCAAGATGATTCTGATTCATAGCAACCCTCATTTGGTTTCCAAGGCTATAAATCTTTATAGAAGCAGACTGCCTCATCTTTCTTCTGAGGAGTGCCTTAACCACTACATCACCATAACTTCTTAACCAATGTACAAAGTATCCCTTAAATTCATTGCTATTCTATTTGACTTTTTTAGTTCAAGTAGTTCAGATTTCCTGTATCAGTTTCTTTTTCAAGTTCCATGGTATGTATTTATAAATATATGTTCATATGTGTCCTCCTTTTATACAAATGTTACAATATTTCCATGCTGTTTTGTATCATGAATTTTAAAGTACTTTGGTGACCATTACATATTGGTACCTGAAGAGTTCCTTTACTCATTTTTTTGTATGGATGTACCTTAATCATTTCCCCATTTTTGCATATTGCTTCTGTGCGCATTATCCTTAAAAACGGTTTCTCTAACTATAAGATCCCATCACCCACTCCACGGAAGGAAGACAGGGCAATCTACTTCAGAAAAGATACCACCTCGGAAACCCAAGGAGGAGTCGCTGTGATTACTGAAATTTCTAACCCTTATTTCTAACTACTGATTATCTCCATTTCAAGCTACAATCATCTAAAAATCTTAAATTTCTGTTTATCTCCCCATTTCAGTTAAGGGTTATTTCCATTTTCCCAAGTAACTCAGATCATAATACTCAATCTTTTCTTGCCTCTGTATCCCAATATTCAGACATGAAACCCTAACCATTCTACTCTATGTTGTACATTAGCCACTTTCTTTTATTTCTCACTATGACACCTAGATTACTGTTAACATCCTAATGATCCGTGCAGGAAGGGTCACAAAGCAAAGGAAGGACAAGCAAGATTTCATGACTCCCTACCACTTACCAAGCAAGCCTCAACTTTTGGCATAGTATCAAAGCTCTCCAGTTTTCTCTCTTTATCTCTTATTTTGCCATACATGCCAGCCACATTTACCATTCTCAAAATATGCTCAAAATATGTTTCCTATCTCTTTAGATTAGGTGTTCCATTTGAACTTTCTCATGCCAGCAAATGTTTACCTGTTGAAACTCTACTTCTCATAGTAAATCCTTCTGCTACTTCTCATAATAAATCCTTCTGCTATCCACTAATGGTAAAGTTTTTTCTCCCTCCTCTGAACTGCAAAAATATTTGTCTTGCCTCTTATGATGCTGATCACTGTATTTTGTATTCTTGTCTTATCCTTCTTATTTGATTGACAGTTTCTTAAGTACTGTAATAATGTCTTACTTATCTCCGTCCTTCACATTTAGATGAAGCTTAGTACAAGCAGTATTTAAAAAAAACTTCCTCTGAGGACCAGGTTTGCTGGTCTGATAGAGCCTGATGGAACCACTGAGACTATGGTCCCTAGCTGCCCTTCAGGTCTGGAATTGAACCCACACCTGTGGCTTCCAGCCAAACAAGAGACAGGCATATAAGTTGAACATGTACCTAAGGTAAATACACTCCTTGGAGAGAATAATCATGGGAGAAAGAGGAGCTGTTTATACACAGGGAGACAGTTCAGGGGGCAGGAGTGCATGGAGGGATGGACACAGGGAAGAGGTAACTATCAGGAGGAAGTAGGAAGGGAGCTGTTGCATTGGGGTAAATTGTAGGCAATGTCATGAGAACATGTGTGTGAACTGCTGTATGGAAAGTGAATTTGCTCTGTAAACTTTCACCCAAATCACAATTAAAAAAAAAAAAAAAACTTCCTCTGGTACCTTAATCCCACTCCCCACCCCTCGAAAAAAAGGAAAAAAAAAAAAAACCTCAAACTCATTGCCATAGAGTTAAAAATCACACTGGGCTTGACAGTTTCTTGAGTGCTTATCCTTATTTAAGGTACAAAGGTGCTCAGAACTGGGGGCCTCTGTGGCACAGTACGGTGAATTACTTAATGTGACTTCTCTAGTCATACATAGTCTTTGGAACTCCACCAAATGGCTAGGTAGAACTATGCAAATGGAGTGCTTATGGCCCACCAAGGGGTGTAAATAATGGGTATGGCACGCTTGTAGGGGTGGGACCATGCAAATAAGATGTATGGAACCCTAACAAGAGGACTGGTTAGTTTTGTCATCCCAATAAGGGTTAAAAATGAGCCATCCCAAAGGCAGAAAGGGGGGAGAAGGGTACCTTACTACCACCAGGAAGAAAAGTCGGGAATAGAGCTTATCCTTTGGCCTCAGAGTCCCTGCACTAGGAACTCTCAGTTCTAGGAGAGAGAAAGCTGTAACACTTGAGAGATGGGACAAGTAGTGGCAGAGAGGTGGTAGCAGCACAGGAAGTAGACCAGCAGGAGGTCATACAGTGGGCTTCTAGACTCACAGAGCAAGAAAGTTAAGTGCCTTCAAGCAGGAGGCCTGCTTGAGGAGTTGGGTGGCTCTGCATACTTGGTGGAGCTAAATCTGCTAACCAAAGAAGTTAGAGCTGAGAGCCTTTGGGCTGAGGCTTATTGGAAAAGATAGAAGAACTTTGTAGCACTTGCCTGAGCAGACCAGAAGCCAAAGGGCCATGGAGCCAAGAGCCAGAGAGAGGTATGTTAGCTTTCCTGCTCTGTGAATTCAGAAGCTTACTGTACAACCTCCTGCTGGTCTACTGCCTCTGCTGCTACTGCTTCTCTGCCATTACTTGTCACTACTGAGAAAAGGCTGAATTGATCAAAGAACTGTATCCTGTATCATTTCTGATCCTGAATTATAATGTTACTTCCCTAACTAAACATCATAATCATGAGTATTGTCTGTGTGTTCCGTGTAGCCACTGCAATGAGAATTTTCAAACCCAGCAGAGAAAGAAATGGAAAGTCCCTGCCATGGGAGGGACGGTTGGTATCAGAATTGGTTAAAAAAAAAAAAAAAAAAAAAAGTTGGAGGGAGGAGGCATATTTGACCTCTGCCTCATAGGAATTAGCTTTGGGCTGTTGATGTTGATACTGCTCTTCCTTCCCCCTTGTGAAATTAGAGGAGGTCAGATGTCATTTTTATAATTGCTTTTGCAGTCACTTGCTTATCAAAATATTCTTTTTGTTCAGGACAGAATTTGAAAAGTGACTAAGTAAACCCTAAAGTGCCTAGCAACTCTGTAATATCGTGGGGTTTAAGTAAAATGTGAAAGTATTATTCTGACTCCTTGTCCTGCTGAAGGGAAAAGCTCAGCTCATTCTACAGTGATTAAGACTGACTCAAGCCTTTGTTTCTATAAAAAGGAAATGAATATCTATAGAGTATATATTTCAGAAGGGATTTGATGTGGCTGATCAATATTACTAGGGTCATCTCAGAAACACCAACAGTAACAATGAAAACAGGGTAAAATAACACTGGTTATGAATAAACTTACCACCAGATCTGAAATCTTCATTCATCTCATTAGTTAGAGACATATTTAAATCTTGCTCTTTATTAAATGATGTATAATAAGCAAGATCAGTTACCCATTTGCCCTCTTCATTTTGATAGACCACACTCTGTGGCAGATCCAGCTCTAAAAAATAAAATTCCAAAAATATTCAATGATACATGTAATATCTAAAACATAACATTTTAAAGTATTTATTTCATTGTTTTAGTTATCAATATTATTGAAGTATGCCAACAACCAGTCAGAAAAATGACGATCCATTTCCCTAAAAGAAAAACTAGCCTTAATTACAGTAAAAATCCACAATGCAGCAATGCAGAGTAAGAGAGGGGAAAAAAAAAAAAAAAAAAAGAATCATTTAGGTAAAGTTTTACTACACTTTTGATTAATGAAGTATGCCAACAACCAGTCAGAAAAATGACGATCCATTTCCCTAAAAGAAAAACTAGCCTTAATTACAGTAAAAATCCACAATGCAGCAATGCAGAGTAAGAGAGGGGAAAAAAAAAAAAAAAAAAGACAAAGACTTAGGTAAAGTTTTACTACACTTTTGATTAAAGACAACATTTTCAAACTACAATTATCCTATACTAGTACATTTTAAAATATTTAAATATCACTTGATACTTCAATATGAAACAGGCAAAGTTCATATGAAAATATATTCTACTCAAAACAACAAACATTTTTTATTAAGAAAAAAAGCACAACACTTACGGTTTTTGCTCTTTTCAATGGACTCATAACAGTCACATGTTCGCCTTTCACTGTTAGGTGACCAGGTAACATCAGCGGACTTAATCCCATTGTCAATAACAGGCGTCAAAGATGTTATATCCACATTTTTTAGAATATACACTTTTGAAGTTTCAGTGTCTACACATTCATCCAGGTTCAACAATGCTTCTGAATATGACTCCAAATGCTTTTTTTTATGTAGAAACTCTGTCCCCTGCTTTAAAGGTTCAGTCAAACCAAAATCACCTTTCTCAGCATTTGTGTCATGAAAACAAACAGGGTTAAGTTTCACATCAGTAGCCCCAGTAGTCTTCACCTTAACGAGAACTTCTTCTCTTATGCTTTCCTTTAAAAATCAGTAATAGAACAGCAGTAAATATTGTGTTTTTCACAACTAATCCTAAAATTTTATGGGAAAATAATGATAGTTAATACAAAATGTTATTTACATAATGATAGACTATATAGTATTCAGTATATTCTGAACTACATATGAACCAATGTTCATAATCAATTTATCTGAAGCAAAATTCAGAATATAGTCATGGCAAGTGTACACATAAATATTTAGACACCAAAGTTTGGTCATTTGTGCTAATTACACTATAGGAAACCAGAAATATTAGTGAAATTTTTAACAACTACCACTAAAAGTCTCTACAAAGTAAGCAAGCCCATTAAGGTAAGAAGTATCACTAAAATTAATGTAAGTCATTGAAAACACAGATCTTAAATGTTCTAACAGGAGTGAAATAGCATTTTCTACTACTATACTACTAATGTATACTACTTTGACAAGGCCAACAACAATTTTATCAGACACTTCAAATTAAGCCATGTTTCCAACATATTCTCCAAAATGGTACTTCTTACTCTTTCTAAAACTAACAACTGCTGAAAAGGGGATGAAATTCCTGGACTAGTCTTTCCAAACATTCAGCTATTGCCATTCCTTCACATGCCAATAAGCCTGAAAAAGGAATCTTTTCTGTTATGATGAGAAATGTGATGGCAAAAACAGACTTATAAGCCAAGTTTTAAAGTCAAAATACTGAAAGGAGGTAATTCTATGTTTAAAAAAAAAGTTAGCTTTAGAATAAGAAAGTCATAGGTTAAAATCCTACTGTCACTACCTTTGATCAAAATAAATTCTGAATGGTTAAAAAATTTAAGTATAAAAGCATAAGAGAAAATAAAGATGAACAGCTTTATATTCTTTAGTGACTACAGCCATACTTCAGAGATATGGCTGGCTTGGTTCCAGATCACTACAATAAAGTGATTATTGCAAAAAAGTAAGTTATACAAATTTTTTAAAAAAATCAAAACCATGTAATAAGCAATGTTATTGCCATGGCTGTAGACTTTCTTTTTTTTTTTTTTATGTCTCTGTCTATAAATTAAATACTGCTACATAATATCCTATGGATTAGAAAGCTTAAGTCAGAGTCCAAAATTTATTACATGGCACAAAAGGGTCTCAAAGTGAACTCTTTCTCTGAATAGAAGTTGTAGAGCAGCACTGTCCAGTAGAAATACAATTCAAGCCACGTAACATAATTTTTAATTTTCTAATAGCCACATTAAGAAGCCCTTGTGGCACAGTGATTAAGTGCTCAGCTGTTAATTGGTGGTTTGAACCCACCAGTGAGTTGATGGAAGGCCTGACAATCTGCTCTTGCAAAGATTATTGTTGTTGATGTTATGTGTTGTCAAGTTGGTTACAACTAATAATGACCTTATAGGGCAGAGTAGAACTGCCCCATCAGGTTTCCTAGGCTGAGATCTTTATGGGAGCTGATCACCAGGTCTTTTCTTCCATAGAGCCCTGGTGGGTTTGAACCACCAAACTTTTGGTTAGTAGCTAAACGTTTTAGCCACCACACCAACAGGACTCCTTTTTTGGTGCTAAGTCTTCGAAATTCAGTGTTTATTTTCCACTTACAGTACATATCATTTGGGATTAGCCACATTGCAGTGCTTGATAGCCACATGTGGCTTGTGGCCACCATACTGGCAGTGTATACAGCACTAGAAACTAGGGTGATATGGTTTAGTTCACTTGCTTTGTTCCAGTCATGACTGTACCCTAATCTTAGTTGGCTGACATGAAGACGGAATCCAGGATGCTGTTTTGTAGGTAGGCTGTGCCTTTACCTAAATTTGTTTTCTCTTTTCCCTGACATACTTAACTAAGTGCCACAAAAATCTATTAGACAGCATTATTAATTGATAAATAGATATTGATGGATGAAAAGATAGGTATATGCACAAAGATTTTCTGTAAAAAAGTCAAAGATTAAAGATGAAAACAATTTCTTTTTAAAAAAAAACAAGAGCTTTTCTTTTGTTTTCTCCATAAGAGAAGCTATGTTTTTATAAATGGTACAAGTATGTTTGGCCAGCAAACAAAAAATATACAAGTGTAATGAAGATCTACACACTCAAAATTAATTTTATAAAGAAAAGCAAAGTTTATATAAATCTATGCGTTTTTAAAGGAAAGCAGGAAGCTTAGAACTATGTTTCTACGCTTTGAAACTAACCCCATGGAGGGACCACCCAGAATTTGCCCTCGGTGCCATTACTGATGAATCTCTAGTCAGAATGGAATGCCAGTTTTCATTTCCCTATGGCAGTTTCTCTTCTGAATTTTCAGTAGATTGCCAAAGGATCTCTTTGGCTGGTATGTAGTCAATTAGTAGTTAGTGCCTTAATCTAGTCCTATCCAATACAGATTGTGACCTCATAGCCAGACTACAGACACTCGATGTTGATTTTCCTCTTCCTATTTTCCTACGAGGACAATGATACGGAGGGCTTGGCTAGGAATTAGTCAGTAGCTTAAGATCCCCAGTCAGAAGACTTGTTATTTCTAGAATATGTTTAACCACAGCATGTCAATAATTAGAAATGTAAGGAATGATTCATTTGCTCAAAGATCTCTCCAGCATCACATGCTATCTGTGGAGCTGTCTCATGGCCATGGTATATTTTGCATACTTTTCAATTTGGCCAGAAGTGGGGTGTTTGAAAACTAAATTTCTGTCCTCCAGTAGGCCAGGGATTATTTCACAATCCAGTAGTGACCCCAGCTGCTCAAAAAGTGTGAGCTTTCAAAGCATAACCAGCAGCACAGGGGAGCTGGTAACACTCTCCCAAACCTACTGAATCAGAACCTGCATTTTAACAAGATCCCCAGGTAACTTATTCAAACTAAAGTTTGAGAAGCAGAAGACTGTATTTCTACAACCTTCTGGAGGAGGAGACACACTTTAATTTTCTGGAAGCTTTCTTATGACTCTCACTTGCAATAGTGAAAATGGAGGTAGGAATGGAACAGGTGAGTAGAATAGCTGGGAAGGGGCACTGACAGTAAAGACTCCTTAAAGGACAGCAAAGAGATAGCCTTCCAGCCTCACTTTCCTTCTTCTGAGATTCCCAGCACTCTTAGCAGTGCAGGGTGAGACTACAGCAACAAATTTGGAAGCCCAGTCCAGAAACATTTGTAGATCTGTGTATAGAACTTAATTTACTGATTTATTGGTGGCAGGCTAGCTCCAGAGAACCCTGCATCAAACCAAAGGAGTTAGGAGACGTGAACAGGCTTAGGTCATCCAAACAGTAGAAGAAACCGCCAGAGACACATGGGACTTGAGGCCTCACCTTTTACCACATTCAGATACCAGGTCCTCTGGGAAAGTTTGACTTCCATTGTGTAGTAGGAGTTCACACTTCCCTAACTTCGGGTCTATCTGCCATCACAGTACATGAAGGACATTATGCTGTGGTGCGACCCGCTGCTGGTGGCCTTTTGCAACACCAAGACCATCCAGAACCAAATTATAAAAATTTTTTGGTTTCCCAGTACATACAAAAGCTATGTTTACACTATAATGTATTCAATAGCATTATGGAAAAGTTTGAATTAACATGAGAATTACCAAAATGTGACACAGAGATACAAAGCGAGTATTTGACATTGGAAAAAATGGCACCAACAGACTTGCTTGATGCAGAGTTGTCACAAACATTCAATTTTTAAAAAACACAATATATGTGAGGCACAATAAAGTAAAGCATACTAAAGCAAGGTGTGCCTGTAACGTCTTCTAAGTTTAATAGGGTAGTGGGTTAAACTGTGCCCCATAAAAAGGATATGTCCAAGTCCTTACCCCAAATACTTGTGAATGTGACACTATTTGGGAACAGTCTTTGCAGATGCAATTAAGTTAAGGCTCTCAAGATGACATCATCTTTGAGTTAGGGTAGGGCCCTAAATCCAATGTCTGGTGTTCTCATAAGAGAAAGGAGAGGGAGATTTGAGACAGAGACACAGATGGGAAGGTCATGTGAAGATGAAGACAAAAATTGGAGTGATGTTGTCACAAGCCAAAGCTGGAAAAGGTGAGAAATGACTACTTGATTAAACTTCTGGCCTCCAAAACTATGAGAGAAATAAATTTCTGTTGCTATAAATCACCAAGTTTATGATAATTTTCTGTAGCAACCACAGGAAACTAATTCAAACACTAAAGCCAAATATCCATAAAGATCATCGTATTTCCTTAACTTAGAGAGCTTGTAAGAGTTCCTGGGTAGTAGAAATGATTAACACACTCTGCTGCTAATCAAAAGCTTGGAGGTTTGAGTCTACCCAGAGACTCCTCAGAAGAAATGTCTGGCAATCTACTTCTGAAAAAATCAGGCATGGAAAATTCTACAGTTCTACTTTGATACACGTGAGGTCACCACAAAGGCAGAGTTGACTTCATGCAACTAATAATTGAGAAAGCGTGTAAAAATCAATATTTAAAATGTGAATACCCCAAAAGAAAAAAAGGCTAAGGAGACAAATAAATATGGACTGTATACTAATTAAAACTACTGTATCAAAGTTAAAAATACTAGAGCAATAATAGAATTGTATTATATAGCGAAATGTCCTTAATTTGCAAGAAAGAAACGAAGCACTGAGTTGAAATGTCATAATAGCAGCACCTTTCAAATAATTTAGGGGGAAAAAAGTGTATTTATGGAGGCAGAAAGAAAATATAAATTTAGCAAAATGTTAACAATTGGTTAATCTGGATGAGGCCTATATAGATGTTCAGTGTACTATTCTTTTAAGTTTTTTGTAGGTGAGGGAAAAGTAAGAGAAAGTAGGAAAGACCAGGTAAGGTACTTCTAATCAACTCATATCCTAAACAAGTAGAGTCCAAAGAAAATGAAGGACTTGAATTTAATGTTAAAATTAATTAAACAAAACAAAAATAGGCCAATAACAGCTCAATGGACTATGTGATCTTGCTTTAACATTTGACATAAAGTAATTAATTATTGATTCAATGACACCAATAATAATTTTCTGAAGTCAAATTTCTGGAAAAATAAACAAACAAAAACTATAAATATTTGAACATACCTGATTAGAATCACTTGTAGGTAACTTAAAATCATTTTCTGCAGTTTCCTGTCCTTCCATGTCTTCGTATATCATTCCTGGAATTGCTAGTTGTTCAAAATAAGCCTCCAAATGATCATCATAAAACTCTTCATCATCAATATCATCATCTATCGGTAAAATAAGAAAAACAGGCTTTAAAGAAGTCAAAAAAGACTAGTAAAAACACAAATCAGTCAATGGCCTATGTGATCTTAACAACTGACATAAACCTCTTACAATTTCAGTCATTACTGGGCATTCTAACACAAACTAAATATTTAATGACTTTGAGAAGACAACACAGAAACAGATCTTGGTATATATTAAAAAATTAGCATATGCCATGAAAAAGCTACTACAGCTAGTAAATGAATCCAGGAAAGTCATGGGACGTAAGGTCAACTCAGAAAAATCAGTTGGGTTCTAATTATCAGCAAAGAGCAATTGGAAAAGGAAATTAAGGAAGCAATTCCCTTCACATTACCATCTAAAAGAATAAAATACCTAGGTTAAAATTAACCAACCAAGAAAAGGAAGTGTACACTGAAAACTATAAAACATTACTGAAGAATTTAAGACCTAAATAAATACAAGGGTATTCCATGCTCATGGACTGGAAGATTTAATATCGTTAAGCTGTCAATACTACCTAAAGCAACCTATAGATTTAACATAATATCCATTAAAATTCAAACAGACTTCTTTGCAGAAAGGCAGTCCTCAAATTTATATAAAATAAGAAGGGGCTCTGAATAGCCAAAGTAATCTTGAAAAAAAACTAGGAGGGCTCACACTTCCCGATCTCAAAACATATAAAGCTAAAGAAATCAAAGCAGTCTGTTACTGGTATAATGATAGTCATACAGATCAATGGAATAGAATTTAGAGTCCAGAAATAAACACATACATCTTAATAAATGGATTGTCAACAAGGTGCTAAGTCCACTATAAATGGTTCTGGGTCAACTGAATTTCGACATGAAAGAGAACAAAACTGGACCCACACCTTTCATCATACATGAAAATTAACTTAAAATGGACCAAGGACTTAAATGTAAGAACTAAAATTTTAAGTACACAATATAGGAGTAATGCTTCAGGACCTAGTTTTTGACAATGGATTCTTAGATATGTCACCAAAAGCATGAACAACAAAAGACAACATGGACTTCATTAAAATTAGAATATTTTGTGTATCAAAAGGCTTTATTAAGAAATAATGTGAATAATAACACTTGTGAAGTACATACTCCTCAGAACAATTAACCATATGAGAAAAAAGGGCAGCATCTGCCCCAAAACAAAGCTCAGAAAGCATGGAGGAAATGAGAAGAGTGCTGTTACATTGAGGAAACTGCAACTAATGTTATGACACAAAGCATGTATAAATTGCTGAATGGAAAACTACTTTGCTCTGTAAACTCTCACTCAAACCACAATTAAAAGCATAAAAGAAGGTAAAGAGATAATCTAGACATTGGGAGAAAATTTTGGAGAATCATAAATCAAATAAGAGTTTTATTTCCAGAATATATAAAGGACGCCTACAACTTAACAGCAAAAAGATAAACATCACAGTTAAAAAATTGGCAAAGACTTGAGTAGACACTTCACCAAGAGTATTACAAATGGCCAACAAGCAATTAAAAGATGCTCAATGTCTAGAAAAATGGAAAACACACACTGTCAAAGATGTAGAAAAACTGAGACCCTTACTCATTGCTGGGAGGACTGTAAAATGGTGTAGCTGCTGTGGAAAACAATTTGATGATTGCTCAGAAAGGTATACATAGAATTACCATATAACCTAGTAACTCCACTCCTAGGTATATACACAAAAGAATGGAAAGCAGGAACAGAAACAGAAACTTGGACACCAATATTCAGTGCAGTACCAATCACAATAATCAAAATGTAGAAATAACCTAAACATCCATTAATAGGTGAATGGATAAACAATATGCGGTACATACATACAATGGAATATTATTCAGACATAAAAAGAAATGAAATCCAGATACATGCTACAAAATGGATGAATTGGAAAACATTATAATGAATGAAATAAAGTCAGTAACAAAAGGAAAAATATTTTATGATTCCACTGATACATAATATGTAGATTTAAGCAAAAGCGTAAGATACTAAAATGGTTACCAGGGATGAGAGGGAAGGAGTTACTGCTCATGGGGCACCATGGTCCTGATAAGAGTAACAGAAAAATATGTAAATGAATGGTGGTGATGGTTGTACAACATGGGGAATGTAATTAATGTGTAAAAAACGTTTTAAGGGCAAGTGGCTTTTTTAAATATGTATTTTCACCACAACTTAGAAAGGTAGTCTATAACAAATGTGGTACCACAAACCAATGGAGAAGGGTGGACTGTTGTTGTTGTTGTTGTTGTTATTTGCCATCAAGTCGGCCCCGACTCCTAGCGACCCCTCCTTTGGTTTCCGAGGCAGTTATCACTACGGAAGTAGGAATGCCCAACCTTCCTTCCAAGGAGTGGCTGGTGGGTTTGAACCACCAGCCTCCTGGTTAGCAGTGAAGTGCCTTAAGCACTATGCTACCAGAGCTCCCAAAGGGTAGACTAGTTATAAAATATTGTGGCAAATGGTTAACTCTATCAAAAAAAAAAAAAAGCTAGGTAAGTACATCATAAACACAAACAAATGCAACCATTGCCGTGGAGTTGAACCCAACTCATAGAGACCCTTCCTTGGGTTTCCAAGGTGGTATCACTACAGAAGTAGATTGCCCAATCTCCCTTCCGAGGAGTGGTTGGTGGGTTTCTACCGCCAGCCTTCCGGTTAGCAGTCTAATGCCTTAGGCACTAAGCCACCAGAGCTCTTGTTAAGTATGTCACAGGAGAAGTAAAAATAAATTCTGAGTGAATTAAATAATTAAATGTACAATGAAACCTCAAGCAAATGATTTGATCTTAAGATTAGAAACTACTAAGAAAAAAGATACAAAAAAAGGTCAAACACAGATATAACAGAAAAATATTGAACTTCCTCTAAAAACAAAACTTTGCAAATGAACAAATGAGATCACACCAGCTCCTTCCTACAGATTAATTTTACAGTCAACATTAACAGGCTTAAAAATACTCATAAAAGGAAGACATAGAAAGGCACATAGGAGGTTCAGACAACAAAGATGAACCCTTTTGCATATACAGTACTACATTGTCAGTGAAGTCAAACACGGGTATATGGGTAGACAGATGGGTGGGCAGGCTGAACTATTAGGTATGTCTATGCAGCAGGGAATGAGACCATGCATAGGTTTGGAGACAATGGTTCTACAAGTGTATTTGTATGTTCTGTAAGAATTCCCAGGGGTATAGTAGAGCTGACAAGGGACAAGTTTGTAGTCACTTCTTGGTCACAGCCAGCTACCAAGAAGGACCACTAGTAGTTGAACCTGTGGACTCAGGACCATAGTTGCAGGGGATATCAAGCTCAATTGGAGTAACAAACTACACAAAACATTGTTCCACATCCTACTCTGGCGAGTAGTGACTGGGATCTTAAAAGCTTGCAAGCAGCCATCTAGATGCAACAATGGGTCTCTTCTCGTCCAGAGCAAAAAAGAATGAAGAAAACCAAAGATTCATGGAAACAATTAGTCCTTGTGACCAGTATACCATGTGATCCTCAGCCTATACGACTATGAGACCAGAAGAACTAGATGGTGCCCAGCTACCACTGTCAACCACTCAGAGGTGGATCTATGGAGGAGATCCTGAATAGAGAGGGAGGACAATGTGAAACAAAACTCAAAATCATTTGGGGGTAAAAGAAAGGTGGGGGGACTAGGTTTGTTGGTCTGATAGAGCCTGGTGGAACCACTGAGACTATGGTCCCTAGCTTCCCTTCAGGTCTGGAATTGAACCCACACCTGTGGCTTCCAGCCAAACAAAAGACAGGCATATGAGTTGAACATGTTGTACCTGAGACAGACACACTCCTTGGAGAGAACAATCATGGGAGAAAGAAGGGCTGTTTATGCACAGGGAGACAGTTCAAGGGGGAGGAGTACATGGAAGGATGGACACAGGGAAGAGGTAACTATCGGGAAGAAGTGGGAGGGGAGCTGTTGCACTGTGGTAAACTGTAGTCAATGTCATGAGACAACGTGTGTGTGAACTGCTGTATGGAAAGTGAATTTCCTCTGTAAACTTTCACCCAAATCACAATTAAAAAAAATATATATATGTATATATATATATGTATATATATATATATGTATGTATGATTGCATGCATGTACATATGTATGTATCCATAACCTTTGAAGAAACTTAGCAACTTTACCTCTAAGAATCTGGCCTGGTAAGACTTCAAAGGTCTGTATAAAATCAGGTCATTAATTCCACACCTATAATTCCAAAATCTAAGAATATCTGAACACTTCTTTAGAGGCAAACTTGTCACAAACTAGTGTGATATCCTTTGGAGTTTCTAGTTATCCCACTCGGCTCATCAGCCTGGTCTTCAAGGCCATGAATCCTACTCAGAAGAGTGGCCCTGCCTACACTTCTGGGTTTATTTCCCAATTCAGCCTCCCACAGGTGCTGTAACTTCCACATGAAACCACTGGCTAGTTCCCGAACACGGCTCATGTGCCTCTACCTGAGTGCTCTGCTAAGCTGTTCCTCCTTCCTGAAATGTCCTTCTCCTCCCACTTCTAAATCAGTCCTAGAACAAGCGCCATCCTCTTTCAAGAGAGCTGAACAGACACTTTCCTCAGTTAGAATGACTTTGTTATCCTCTATGACACCCAAGCTCTTTTTTGTACTGTTGGGGTACATTTACAATCTGAAGACTAGCTATAGGTCTCCTTTCTGCACCAGGCAAAGCTTGTTAGAGAGCAGAGGCTAAAAATTTCACGGTCCCCAATTTCTTAACATGGGGCTTTATACTGAGTAACGCCTGAAGGTGACTACTCTGTACTCTAATAATGTTAAATTGAAGGACAAATATAATCATCTCAGTACTGATATATACCTAGAACCACAGCTAAAAAAATCCCATCACTTAACAAAAGTAGCTATTTGAGTGCTGGTATATTAAAGCAAAAGGAGGTAAAGAGGAGGGCAAAGAAACAAAAAATTGGCACAGAAACAACAACAATGAAGAAGTAGAATGGAAAAGTAGGGACTAGGAAAACACAAGTTACTTTACAGTACCAGAAGAATCTTCAAAGCTTGTCAATGATGTAAGTTTCTCATTTTCTAATAAGATAGTATGACTTAAGTCACTCTTTGGAGTCTTTTCTTCAAAATGTATTCCAGTATCAGGTTTAACAATCTGTTTAGAAATGAAATGGTGAATAAGAGAAGCATCATCACTGCTGTGAAGAGTATAGAGGAGGGCTGCAAAAACACAAAAACTTTCTACACCACCAATGTACTCGGGATATGTAATTGACAATTTAGGCAATGAATATTTTTTTGTTTTGTTTTTACTATTTTCCCAGTTGTTTCATATGTACTAATAACTTTTTTCCTGCTCCTTAATCTCCACCCTCCTCTGATCCATCCAATAAGAAATCCTTGAAATTTAAGGTCTCTCTCAAATTTTTGCACATGCTCAGAGAACCTAGGACTATAGTTACTATATGAAGTCTCACACAATTGAACTTGAACAAACACAAGGATTGAAACAGGAAGTGAAGATAATAACAAAGTTGGTCTCAGCAACCTTTACCAAAATGTTAACTTTCCATTATTTATGTTGGAACAATCTACTTCTCAGCTTCTCTACCAGGGGCCATGTAAATCTGAGAGCACACAACAGCTTAATGGGTACACTCAAGACACAGAATAAATATGGGACATTTTCCTCTAAGTGCCAATTGTCTTTCACAATAAATAATTTTAAATATACTTTAAAACAACTAACATCATTCAGGAGTAAGATTGCAAAATAGTTACTAATTTCTAAGACAAAAGCACAGGATCTTGACGGAATTATCCAGTGCTGAGCTATGTTAACAAATACACGAGGTATCGGGGGCTACATTGAGCTACTGTTACCTAAACCATATGTTCTCTGAGAACAGGTCAAATGTTGACAATTTTTTAATATACACTTGGCATTTTTAAATTAAAAAAAAAAAAAATGGGGAAAATGTAATTGTAAGAGAATAACATGTCAATTATTTCAGTATTTTTGGTCATAATTCTTATTGAGAACGCCATCCACTATGCTATTTTTGGTCCCTTATATATAGGTCAAGTATACTAAAGAGGCCCTAGAAAAGTCTCAAGATTTATAAAGTGGTATAGCTTTTACAGTTTAGGTGAGAACTCCAAAAACACATTTCCTTCACTGACTTGGCTGCCAGGATTGTTGTCAGCTACTGTTTGAGCCAGTTCTGACTCAAGGTAACCTCATGGATAACAAAATAAAAGTCCTGCACCATCTTCATAATCATTGGTATGTTTGCATCCATTGTTGTGGTTATTCATTTTCTTTGGCCACCTACTTTACCAAACATGATGTCCTCTTCCAGCAATTCCAGGAATGATGGGCCCAAAGTAAGTGAGAAGTCTCACCATCCAACCACCAGGACAGGTAAAACCCCATCCAAAGCCACTGCCAACAAGTCAATTCCAACTTATAGCAACCCTACAGGACAGAGAAGAACTGCTCCATAGAGTTTCCAAGGTTATAAATCTTTACAACAGCAGATAGCCCCATCTCTCTCCCATAGAGCCGCTAGTGGATTCAAACTGCCAACCGCTTGGTTAGCCGCTGAATGCCTTAACCACTGCACCACCAGAGATCCTTAGGATAAAGCTAAATCAAAAGTCAAATGCAGTAGTTGCTCCCTCTAGTGAAAAGTAGAATGGAAATATATTTTTCTAATATATTCATTTTCTCCCCTGTTCTCACTTATTCTTCCACGTTTTATCAAGCATCTCATATTTCTGTACTTGTTTTTGTGTTTTCTAGTTTTATAGTCCCTCTCTTTTATTATCAATGATCTCTAATGCTCCTAGAAACTCAATTCTTCAACATCCTAAGATAATAAATTACCTAGTATAAGGAAAAATAGGTTCTCTTTGGTCTAAATATCCTGAAAATAAATAAATGAAGTACAATTTGTAGTAGAGTAAGAATTAAAATAAGAAATCATAATTTCTGAATTAATTTCAGTTTTGCTGCTCCTGAACATCCTCAAAAAAGCATCACTCACCTGAAACTAATTATTGGTTATATATGGCGTGAAAAGTTGGCAAATATTTTCTGTGCAGGGCCAAATAGTAAAGTAAATTATTTCAAGTTTTCCAGGCTGTAGATCTATGTCACAACTTCTCAACTCTCTTCTATAGTGCAAAAACAGCCATAAATAAAACATAAACAAGTTGGCATGGCTGTGTTCCAATAAAACTTTATTTACAAAAACAGAGAGTAGACAAGATTTGGCCCATGATCTGTAGAGTTTGCTGACCCCTAGCATGGGAAGTTCTGGTGGTATAGTGCCTAAGGCATATGACTGCTAACCAGAAGGCTGGCAGTTCAAATCCACTAGCCACTCCTCATAAGGAAAATTGGACAATCTACTTCCACAGAGATACCGCCTCAGAAACCCAAGGAGGGGACACTATGAGTTGGAAATGATTCAACGGCAGTGATTTTGGTTTGGTTTACCATGGGAAGTAGCTTTTATTTCAGGCCTTTTTAAATTTCTTCTATTTTAAATTTTATCATGGTAGAATATATATATATAACAAAAACATTTTCTATTTTAACCATTGTTCAGTGTATAATTCATTGACATTAAACACATTCACTATGCTGTACAATCATCACCACTATACATTTCCAAAAGGCTATTATCATTCCAACCAGAACCTCTATAATTCAACACTTCCCCTTCCCCTCAGTCCCTGTTAAATACTAATACATTTCTTTAATACTTGATTGTATTTCTGGAAAAATATACACAGCAAAACATGCTATCATTCAACAATTTCTACACATAATGTTCAGTGGCATTTTTTATATTGTAGCACAATATAAAACTCTCAATTATTTTGTTCTAGTTTTTTCACTCCCACTGAATTACGAAAATTTTTTAAAAAAGAAAGCATTATTTAGTTTATATTTTATAAACAGGTCTCACAAAGATAAGACTACATGCTGAAAAACCAGTTAACTGTGTAGGACATATATAATATATAGTTCCTTCCCGTGGAACACACTTGTTTCTACTTCATGGGCTCCTGCTCGGGTTGTCAGTCTTGTTCCTCTGTATGTACATATATACACATTAATGTATGTACATATATATACACACATAAGATCCAGGTTCATAAATCAGAGTATCTTATCCTACCTTGCCCAACAGATGTGATTTATTCAGGGAAGTAAATCTAGTATTTTCTCATATAAACAAGAACAACCAATTAGAGCTATCTTTTTCATTTTTAATTTCTCCTACAAGATAAATCATGCTCTCTTTTTGATCACAAATTTAAAGAGTGTAGGCATGGGTTGTCTACAAATAGAGAGCTTATCCATCATTCAACAAATCACGGAGCATTAACTAAGTGTCAGGCACTGTTCTAGGCACTCAGGAGACAATAAAAAACACAAAGAGAAATCCTTGCCCTAATGAAGCTAACTTTCTAAATGGAGCCCACACAGTGAAGTAGATCAAAGCCATATAGACAGCCTTGATGACATCACTAAGCCCAAGAACATAGATTACCCTTAACCTACTACCCTCAACTTTCTACTTGTAATAATAAACTCTCATTTATTGTTAAGTTGTTGTTGTTGTTGCTATGTGTGGACCCGACTCATAGCGACCCCTCCTTGGGTTTCCGAGACAGTATTGTTAATAAGCTAGATAAGCTAAATTTCTGCTACTTATAAGTAGATGTTATCTAATATTAACATTAACATAATGAAAAATTATTTCTTTGTTCCCTTATCTCTTCTCTCCCCATTGCCATCAAGTTGACTCCAATTCAAGGCAACCCCATGTGTGTCAGAGTAGAAATGTCTTCCATAGGGTTTTCAATGGCTGATTTTTCAGAAGACTGCTGAGGTGTCTCTAGATGGATTCGTACTCGTGACTTTTCAGTTAGTGGGCAAGCACCTTAACTGTTTGCACCATCTAAGGACTCCAATAGGAGCTCTGGTAGGGTAGTGCCTAAGGCACTTGACTGCTAACCAGAAGGCTGATGGTTCAAACTCACTAGCCACTCCTCGGACGGAAGATGGGGCAATCTACTTCCGTAGTGATTCTGCCTCGGAAACCCACGGAGGGGTCGCTATGAGTCAGGTCCAACTTGACGGCACATAACAACAACAACAAGGACTCCGATATAACACCCTTCCAATTGATAACAAATATAAAAAGTATACCTCATGGTCCTTATTATTCATCCATGATGACTGTAAACAAAAATCAATAGGTGAGTCTGTGAAAACAAAAAAACATAGAGACCGGTTATTTTATCAACTAAATACTCAGTAATACCTAAAAATACCAAATAAATAAATGATTTTATCTTGAAGTAGAATAACAGCACTTTCAAACCTTGGCACAGAAATCCATCATTGGTCAGTTACATTTAAAAACTGTCAGGGTGGGAAAGCATAAAAAAGTATAAAACTGTCAAAAAAAAATGTGACAAACAATGTGGAAATGAAGTTTTGTCACCCCACTAGGCTTACAATGAGTCATCTCAGAGGCAGGAAGAGGGATCTCACTGCCATCAAGATAGAGGAAAGCCAGGAGGCAAGCATGTGCTTGGACCAGAGATCCCTGCACTGAGATGACAGCTGAGATGATGGCAGAGAAGCGACAGCAGTGGCAGCAGCAGCAGCAGAACCAAAAGACTGGCACAAGACAGAGTAGCAGGCTTGCTGGTCCACAAAGTGAGAAAGCTAAGTAACTGGGGGTAGAGAGTGGCCGTTGCTGGTGCAGTGGAGTACACCTACCAGCAGAGCTAAAAGAGTTTTATAACACTTACTCAAGCCGGGCAGAAGCCAGGCCCAGAAGACAAGGGCCAAAGAGAGGTGTGCCTATGGGCAGGGCAGAGGAGGGGGTTGTCCTGATTGAGGAACTGTAGGAGCTCTGGTAGCATAGCGGCTAAAGCACTTGACTGCTAACCAGAAGGCTGGCGGTTCAAACCCACCAGCCACTCCTCGGAAGGAAGGTTGGGCAATCCTACTTCCGTAGTGATACTGTCTCAGAAACCCAAGGAGGGGTCGCTATGAGTCGGGGCCGACTCGATGGCACATAACAACAACAACAACAACAACATCCAGAACACATTCCTGAACCTGAACTGTAATCTGTTACTTCCCTAATAAACTCCAAATCATGAGAGGAAAAAAAAAAAAAAAAAAGTGACACTCTAATAGACTTCAGAGCCAAACTCTGTTTTACAGAGGACATGGGCAAGAAAGGAATTAAGAAAATGACACTATGCATATGCAAAGAGACAAACCCAATAGTGAGAAAATCTATAGGGTGACTGACCTGGCTTTTTCAATCAGTTAACGAGCTAGAGGAAAGGGAAAAAGGTTGTACAATATTAAGACTTAAGAGACACAACGAGAAATATATCGCAACATAACGTAACCTTGCTCTGGCTCCAAACTCAAGCAACCCAATTGAAATGACCAGTAAATCAGAATATGATTGAGGTACTACATGATAATAAAATAATTGCTAAGTATGTTAGCTGTTATAATTGTATTGTGGGTGTGTAAGAAAATGTCTGTATTTTTAAAGATGTACACTAAAACACACAGCAGTGAAATATCAATGTGTGGAATTTGTGCGAAAATTTCAGAAAATAAGTAGAAAAAATTGTTGTATGCCAAGAAGCCGTGGTGGCACAGTAGATAAGCGCTCCACTAATAATTAAAAGGTAGGTGGTTCAAACCCACCAGCTGCTCCATGGGAGAAAGATGTGGGACTTTGCTTCTGTAAAAACTTACAGCTTAGAAACCCAGTGGGGCAATTCTTCTCTGTTCTAGGGCCACTATGAATTAGAATTAACTCGATGGCAATGGGCTTTCTGCTTTGGTTATATGCTTAACCACTGTGCCATTAGGGCTCCTTAAAATCACAGTATGACAAAATATTATAATAACTGAAACTAAAGAATAAGTATGCTGGCAGTTAGTACTTTTTGCATCGTTACATAATTCACATATGACAACATTCAGCATTTTAAAAGTTCACAATTCAAAGGACTTCAGTACATTCACAAAGTTTTGCAGCCATGTAAAAACGTCATGGTATCAGACTTCTTGACTAATTTCAGGGAAAAGGGAGAGAACTGCCATCAACATAAGCCCGAGGTTGACTCCCATGAGACGGAAGTCAAACATACCTCTACTCTCCAAACTTTTACCGATTTTGCCACTCTCTACTTCTTTGCTGGATTTGATAATTTGTTGCAATGGTCAAACAGAACTCACAGAACATACTCATGATTATAGGGTTTATTAGGGAAGTAACAGTTTACAATTCAGGTTCAGGATCAACTTAGAAAAACAGGAGCAGGATCAACTAGGGGGTAACAGGAACAACTCAAGACATAGTTCATTGAGCAGGACAGCTTCTTGGCCTTGTTCACAGGTACACCTCAAACTCAGCCTTCACTCCTTGCTCTTGGCCCTCAGTCCTCACTCCCAGCCTGGCCTCTGTCCTACTCGGGCAAATGTTACTAAGCTCTATAGCTCTGCCAAGAAGTGCAGGAGGCACCCCACTCCAGCAACCTGCTTGAAGACACTCAGTTCTCCTGCACCATGGGTCAGTAAGTCCACTGAAGCCGCCTCACTCTGTGGGCTGGGAATGCCACCATACCATCTCACACAGTCTCCTGGTTCCTGCCATCTCATGCCATTGCCGCCTACAGTGTGACACCTCTCCAACATTACAAGTCTCCCTGTATCCTGGGTCTAGGAGACTCTGAAGCACAGGTATAAGTCCAAAGCATGCACTCCACTCCTAGATCTTCTTGATGGAATTGGCTCCCTTTAAGCTAGAGAGATGGTGAAATTGACCAATCTCCTACAAGGATTACATGTATCTTATTTGCATGATCCCACCCCTTTGCAATATGGTAAAGAATAATGAAAATACCCTGGACTGCTAGAACGAACAAATCTTTCTTGGAAGAAGTACAGCAAGAATGCTCCTTAGAAGTGAGAATGGCCACACTTCGTCTCACATACTTCGTAAGTGTCAGAGGGACCACTACCTGGAGAAGGAGATCATGCTTGGTAAAGCAGAGGGTCAGTTAGAAAGGCAAAGATTCTCAATGACATGGATTGACTGCAATGATGGGCTCAAGCACAGCTAAGATTGGGAGGATGGTGCAGGACTGGGCAGTGTTTCATTTGGTTATACACAGGGTTGCCATGGAGTCAGAACCAACTCAACAGCACTAACAATAACAACACAATTACACACACAAGGGTCCAATGCACTTTACTGGCATAAGCAAAACTGTGCAACCCCCTTGGTGGACCACAAGCAAAGTCCCACCCAATCATCTTATGTGAGTTATAAAAGCACGACTACAAAGGCCATATTAAAGCACTTACTGAACTGCAAACTGCCACTACCTAATTAATCCCAGAACATTTTCATCACTCCAAAAAGAAACCCCATAATCATTAGCAGTCACTTCCCATCTCACCCTTCCCTAGCACTTTTCAACCATTAACTTACTGTCTCTATAGGTTTTCCTATTTTAGACATTTCCTATAAATGGAAACATATATTATGTGGACTTTAGATCTGTCTTCCTTCACTTAGCATGTATTCATTACAGTCCCTGATTAGATATGTTGTTGTTGTTGTTATGTGCCGTCGAGTCAGCCCCGACTCATAGCGACCCCTCCTTGGGTTTCCCAGGCAGTATCACTACGGAAGTAGATTGCCCCATCTTCCTTCCGAGGAGTAGCTGGTGGGTTTGAACCACCAGCCTTCTGGTTAGCAGTCAAGTGCCTTAGGCACTATGCTACCAGAGCTCCTGATGATTAGATATATCATTTGCAAATATTCTGTCCCATTCTATGGGTTATCTTTTCACTTTTTTGATAATGTCATTTGAAACAAACGTTTTTCATTTTGATGAAATCCAATGACTATTTTTTCTTTTCTTGTTCATGAGTGTGGAGAGTTATTAATGCTTTCGTATATATTTGTTTTCATCAAAAGAATGAAAATATTCCTTAAGTTTTTAACTTACACATATAAGTATACTTTCACTTATCCACCTTACAGGATCAAGCAAAGCTCTCCAAGTATGGAACCACAGCTCAGAATCATACAATTCTTTGTTACATATAAATATAGCACACAGTATTCAATCTGCAGTTTTGATTTCTTTGACAAGACAGTGAACTTAGAGTACTTAGAAAGCAATCGGACAGCAGAAGCCTGTACTTTTTCAAAACTGTGCCCCAGATTTTTGTAGCTTTCTTCTACAAATCTAATTTCATAAAAAGCTTTTTTCTTCTGAATATCCCTTCCATGTGCCCTTCTTACTTATGCATTCCTGTTTGTCCAGCTTTCCCTCTTTTGAATGCTGCCCCTCTGATGTCTCATGGCTGACTGATCTACGGGGTGCATCTCTCTAGGGTAGGTAGGTGTATCTCCTGGGATAGGTGTTCTACTTGTACCTCTTTCTACTGTTGGGCTGAGAGCCAATCCACAAAACTAAGCCCATTTCCAGACTGGAAGGACAAAACCAGAGCCTTAGTCTCTGGGATCCACTAGTCTCCATCTGACCAGTAATTCTGGTCATTTTTGTGTTTTTGAATTCTGTTCCATATTATTCCTTTCACTCTATACAGGATTTCCAATTATAATCCCTTTCCAAGTGGTTGCCATTGGTAGCCAGGCACCATCTAGTTCTTCTGGTCTCAGGGTCATGAAGGCTGAGGTCTTCATGGTCCATCATATCTTTGGACTAATTGTTTCCAAATGACTGAATTTCTTCATGCTGCCTTACTCCAGACAAGAGGAGATCAATAGCTGCATCTTAAATGGCTGCTCAAAGGCTTTTAAGAAGTCACTATTCACCAAAGCAGGATGTAGAACAAGATTTTTATGTACTGTGTTATGCCAATTGAGAATGGTGTCACATGAGACTATGGTCCTGAGCCTGCAAGCCCAGTGACACTCTCCCTTAAGGTGTTTAGTTGTCTCTGAGAAGCTACTCCAACCTCGTCTCCATTACTTCTGTAATGTATGTGGATAATTTTGTAGCACAAGTGTATATATAAGACGATGTTCAGTCAAATCTATCCTTGGCCTGTGATATATTCCTGTCCGCCTACCTCATCTGATCTTCTCATCTGTCTATGCATTTACCCATAGCATAATACTTTGTGGCACTGGTAATGAAGAATTGTGCAGTAATAGTATTTGCCTCTGTTGTCTACATCT